TTTGGCCTAGTCGGATGTGCATCCCGTGTGTTTCTAAGTTGCTTGTGGAGAAATGTCTTGAGTCGTGAGTAGCGAGGAAACAGGAAGCGATTCTTGTGGGATGGAAAAAGGAAATAGTGAAAATGAAAATCAATTGAAGAGGAATCAAGTTCAGAACAGTCAAGTGATGAACCATCTAGAAATTAGAAATATAAAACAAAATGATTACACAGTAATATTCAAACTAGGCAATCAGGCAGACTATTTTAGTTAACAAAATCAGTTCGGTTCAGTTAACAAAATCGGTTCAGTTAACAAAATCGATAAACTTGTAGGAGAAGTCCGATTTGCCAAAACCCTGTATATGTATAGTGGAGACTTGTTAATAAACTGCAGAGACAGCGCTCAACAAGGCAAAGCCATACAATTTAATAAGATTGAGAGGAAAAGAGTTCAGTGGAGAAGAAAAATATTAGCAGGGGAGTCATTGGAGGTGCTCCTCTAAAACTAGCTGATAAAGAGATTCTAGAAAATGTAAGTGGTGCAAAAGTAAAATAGGTGAAACGGTTAAAAACAACAAGAAATGGAGAAAGGTGTGAAAGCTTATCTGTGTTGATCAAATTTGAAGAGGAGCAGTTTACCCAGTAAGTTTTTCATTAGCTACAATGTCAAAATGTACAATCCTCCACCTCTGAGATGCTTCAAATGCCAAAAATTCAGACATATAGCAGCAGTATGTAAGGGCAAACGATGATGTGGAAGCTGTGTTGGAGAGCATCAATATGGAAAATGTGGGAAAGAAGTAAAGATTAAATTCTGCAACTGTGGTGAACATACTGCTGCATATCAAGGGTGTGAATTGAGTAAAAGATCTGAAGAGATAAGAAAAGCAAAATTAGAGCTCGGAATAACTTATGCTGAAGCTGCAAAAAAGAATCCCATCCTAGTCAGAAAGATCAAAACCAACAGTTAAGCAAATGTCAAGTTCAAAACCTCTGGATCAATGTCCCAAAATTGCAGAAGATCTATTCATTATAAAACAGATTTTGTTCTTTTCATGGTATAAGTGATCAAATGTAGTGTTCAGACGACAAAGAAAACAGAAAAAATCTAAATAGTAGTGAAAGCTGCAGAAAAGTATCTTGAAGTTAAAGATTTAAACTGAGAAATTGATGGGAAAACGAGAAGGACCATCAGATTACTTACAGATAAATAAGAAATTATTAGAACGAATTTGATTATTTAGTATGTTGGATTAAATTACAGTTCGGAAAAATATTAATTTATTTTAATTTTTTTCTGGGGATGAGTCTTGTTTCCTGTTTAACTCATCAGTTGGTGGCGGTAATGCACTTTAACTAATTTGCCAACCGCCATAAAACCTTAGAAGAAGAAGAAACGATTACGTATGAAAACACGATTTAACAACATAAGATCGTAATTATTTAACCCCATCACCCTCCAAACTGAGCTGATAAACAATTTTTTTGTTTTAGAAAGCCGCTTTTATAACTGAAACGAATAAACTCGTAACTATCACGGCTATAGTTATTATGACGCTTTTTCATGTTCTCGCGATAATTAAAGCTGTAAACACCAAACTGCTTAGTTCATATCGTTTATGACCCTGATTTATCTGAATATCATACTAGAATCAAACAAGAGATCTCGGGATCATACACTGTCAACACAATTTAAAATACACCACAACACAGAAACCAAAGCAGTCAGTTACAAGATGTTTGATAGGCTAGCAAAGCTAGCTAGCACTGTTTGCCATCGTCCTTGCCTTTGTTTTTAGAGCACATCTGCGTGTGAAACTGTTTTTCAGAAAAACGTGGAGAAGCTTCAAACACCGATAAGCATCGCTGAATGTCCTTGAACCTTTTCATAATTGGTTTGCTAATAGCTTCCGTGTAGTACACCTGGTTTCAACCCACATCTTGTCGGCAGACAACTCCTCCTCTTCTTCTTCTTCTTCTTCTTCTTCTATTGAGTTTTCTGGCAGTTTGCATCCTGTGTGCATTACCGCCATCAACTGGACGGAGATGTAATTCAGAAATATAATGTCTGTATATCTTTATATCTTCATGAAACTAAATTCTATCTATACTTACACACACGCACATACACACACTAAATTCTCCCAGCTAATTCTGTATCTTTTAAATATTTAATAAGTGCTTTAATTATCTTATCTGATTGATGCTTCCCTAATAAATCTGCCATCTTTACTGAACTCCCCATTACCCTTTCCAGTTCTTTCCTCTCTTTTGTATATTTGCTACAATAGATCAACACATGTTCTACTCCTTCAATTTCTCCGCAATAACAGCAATTACCCGTTGGATGTTTCCATATTATTTTTAGACCTGCATTTAAACTAGTATGCCCAATCCTTAACCTGTTTATCCATATTTCCTCTCTTCTACTCATTATACTGTTATATCCTATGCTAATATCTTTATGTATTTTATATAAATGTCTTCCTTTTTTTTCTAAATTCCATCTCTTCTGCCATACCTTATTTATTTTATCTTTAATAATTACTTTTATTTCTGTTCTACTTAGCGGGACATCATATTCAATTTCTCCTACTTTAACTGCTTCTTTAGCTAACTTATCTACTTTTTCATTACCTAAGATTCCTTTGTGTGCTGGAACCCATGTGAATTGAATACTTATATTTTGTTGCCTTATACCATACATTAAATAACTGACTTCATCTAAAAGATCTTGACGGCTTTCAGATTTTCCACTTTTAAAACTAGTCAGGCAAGACATTGAATCTGAACAGATAACTACATTTCTAGGCTTCACCTCCAGCACCCATTGCAATGCTAAAATAATTGCCAACATCTCTGCTGAAAAAATTGATAAATTATCTGTTGTTCTTCTCTTGATAGAAATATTTTCTTTTGGAATATATACTGCTACTCCTGTTTTACCATTTTCCTCTTTTGATGCATCTGTATATATTTGTGTCATATTTTCATACCTTACTTCTAAATGCTGCTGAATAATTTGATACAAACCTCCACAAGACTCTTCTATTTTTTTAGTTTCTAAATTTACTATTGGCATTTCGAAAAACCATGGAGCAATTTTAGATGTACTTACAGTTTTACAGTATGTTATATTACTTATCCCAGAATACTCTGCATAAATATTTCCTTCCCATCCAAAACTCCTTATATTATGGCCATATTCCCAACATTCTCTGAATATCTGTTTAGTAGGGTGATTTTCCTCATGCCCTTGTAAATTTAACCAGTAATTTATTGACAGTTTCATCCTCCTTAAGTCCAGTGGCATTTCTCCAGTAATCACTTGAAGAGCAGGAACTGGAGATGTTCGAAAAGCACCACTACATATCCTAAGCGCTTTGGCTTGGATTCTATCTAAATCTAACAACAAAGAATTTGCAGCTGATTTATAAACAATACATCCATAGTCCAACACAGATCGAATTAAAACATCATATATTCTTTTCAAGGATGAGCTAGTTGCCCCCCGGTCATTCCCTGACAAACATTTCAATATATTAATACCTTTTTTACATTTATCAATAATCTTCTGCATATGTATCTTAAATGAAAGTTTTTCATCAAACCATACACCAAGGTACCTTATCATATTTACCTGTTTCAATTCATGCCCATATAATCTAAGATCTACTGTTGGATTATCCCTTTTCCTTGAAAAACATAATACTTGTGTCTTCTCAACAGACAAACGAAACCCCCATTCGTGTGACCATCTTTCTACCGTTTTAATTGCTGATTGCATTCTATTTTTTGACAACTCCTCCTACTGTAAGAACATGGAAAAGAACCTGAGGTCTCTAAATGCGTCTTCAGTTTAGCCCCGCCCCCAACGTCAAAAGAACGCAGAAAGTCTGTAAGATAGCGACTGGAAACGTATATATATATATATAAATATATATATATATATATATATATATATATATATATATATATATATATATATATATATATATATATATATATATATATATATATATATATATATATATATATATATATATATATATATATATATACATACATATATATATATATATATATATATATATATATATATATATATATATATATATATACATATATATACATATATATACATTTTTACTATCTTCACTATTTCCTTTTGCAGTCACATTTAATTTCACTGAAAATGATTGATATTCCAATAGCTGAATGTTTAATTATTTAATGTTTTACTTTTCAATTTTCGGCTTTATATTGTTGCATTTAACAATGTTTGATTTTACAATGCCAAATCTCCTTTTATGTGTCAATGTAAGTTGCCAATAAAGCTGTATACAACTTAAAATCAGTCAGATTTAATGTAGAATAAAAACAATTTTCAAATTTAATCTTTAAACCATTAGTAGCTGCTGCCATAATTGCCTTTTCATGTATTGGCCCATTATCAACATCTTTGTATCTTTTTAAATTTCATCATTCTTTTTTTTTTTTTTTCCTGGACACGATAACTCACTTATTTTGCTAAAACCACATTGTTCAGGGTAATATGCAGTGTTACTTTTTTTTATACTCATTTTCAGATTATAGAATGATTGGTGCACTGTGATGTTCGAAGCTTATTATCAAATATCCTAACCCTACAATAGCATTCCTATATCCTTATTCCTTACCTGTCAGTGTTAATCTACTACTAATGTGCAAGAACAACAATACAAAAAAAAATGTTTTACACTTTTTTATTTCAAATAATCCAATTTATTTACATATAATCACAAATGAATAAGTAAAAATATTCAATAGCAATTTGAGTAACTTAATTTTCCTCAAACGAAAATGTGTTTTGTGGTAGTGAAATGAAGACATTGAAGCAGCATTGGGTGGAATAAGTAAACAATATGCCATATGGTGATTTTACTGCATTTTAGAATTAAGGAATGTGTACAAAAAGAATTAAACAAGTATAACTACAGTGAACAAAGTACTATTATTAACTTACCCAGTATCAAAACCTATTGGTAATGATTTATTAAGCTTTTTGACTTAAAAAACGTCTACTCCAGTGTTTTATTTACATTTATATTACAGTCACTCTAACTACGCCAGCAGCGTCATGTGCCCGCTGGTTCTCTCTCTGGACTGAAATGGAAAACTGCAAAATTTCTTATTAAGCTCACATTGATGTTATGCTAAATAGTCAAACAGCAGCCTCAAACCTAACAGATAACGATGATGAACCGGAAACTGCTTCAATTCTTCATGAAGCAGTTCATATAACCGTCATTTTAACCAAAGTTCACACTCTTAACCCTCTATAATTCATGGTTATTATCTTGCGTGTTTTTAAATTGTTTTTCTTAAATTGATAATCAGAGTATGAACACATGACTGATGTGGTCTGGAAGACTGTCTCACTAATATCACTGTACCCTTTATAAACATAGTTCAAAGTAATGTCTTTGTGATGCCCCTTCCAGCTACATTGTTCTTTGGAGTTTGGCCTTTGAGATGCTCAAGAGTAGAAGGTAAGAACGCTCTTGTGGTTGCCTCGGATGAGCAGTGTGGGTGGAAGGTCCTTTGTCAAGATGTCCAACCAGGCCATGTAGAGGAAATCAGAGATGGATCCCTTTCTAGCAATGGGCATGCTCCTGCAGAGGGTTAACCATATAGAAAAAAATAAAACATTAAATAAGAAAATCTACTTTCCATCATTGGATAAAGCATAGTCATTGAATAGAATCTGGACATCTGCTGCTTATACTTACACAACGATCAGATTGGCCAATTTGGAGTGTTCCTGAAGGAGTTCGTTTAGGCGTACTTGGAGGTTTGTCTGTAAAAGAGTATGATATTTTTATTTAATTAATCAAAATCAATTGAATTACAATGAAAAAATTAAATCAATTTTTTCCCCACCTTCTCTTCAAAACTGCTGAGCTCCGCATCAGTGATTTTCCAGGGATACTCCTTTTGCATTCCCTGCGCCTGATCCCTGCCTTTGGACCCCTCATGTAGACGGAAAGGCTCAATCATGTCTTCTAGTTTCTTTAAGCTGGATGGATGACAGATGAGAGGATGAGCTGACTTATATATATGGATTACTTACTGATTACTACCTTCACCGTAACTGTTGCACCATCCAAAACTGATGGAGAGCATTTACCTGTCATCCCTGGGTCTAACGTTGATATCATCAATGACGGTGATGTCGCTGCATTTAATTCGGAACTGGTGCAACAGGGACCTCATTCTGTGAGATAATGATGTAAGATTTTCAGCTTAGTTTAATTGCATGAAGATATTTTTTTGTATCTCAATGTTGATGTGAGAAGTCACTGCTACTGATACTGGAACATTAATTTGTTCACTCACTCCTGCTTGTCTATTTCAGTCCGTCCAGGCTGCCCTGCAATGAAGATTCTTAATTTGGAGTCTTTCCACTTCTTCCTGGTGCTGAGGATGTATGGGAGCAGCAGTGTGAGACCTGGGAGAATGAAATATAAGTTGATTGTTTTAAAAATGTAATAATTGTTCAACCTTGTGACATTTGTCCTCTTTGTCTATCCATACTGACCTATATCTTTTGGACAATAAAACATAGCTAAAGTTCTTTTTGTTATCTTGATGTCCTATTATATCTGTTTATCTCCAATAAAAAGGGACAAAGGGTGAATCTCATTTCCTGTTTCGTAGGAACCTTCCCTTCTCCTTATACCTTGGCACAGTATGTAAACAATTCCCAGCATTGTGTTTCTTATCAACACATATATAATACCAAAGCTGAGATAATGAAAAATAAATATAGTTTGAAAAATATTTAAATTATTGATAAGGATATGCCAAAATGATCAGACTTCAAATGTATCCAATATATTTGAAGCATGCTGAGGATTAGTCCCACTGCATCTATGCTTATTTTAATCAGAAAATATATAAAAATATAATAACACCTTGTATATATATATATATATATGCAATATCAGCACAATACATCTGATTACACACGTTAGTAGTGCTTCTCAGACTTTGTATACTTCTTATCTCAACATTAAGGTCTTTAGACCTTACTATCAAGGCCCTTAAAATTGCACTGCAACAGGATGTGGTTTTTCTTTGTTTGCTGTGTTTCGTCTCTTTCTGCTTCCTTCTGCCTAAGTAAATGTTTCTAAAGTATTTACTGCATTTTTTGAAGAGTAGCTATATTAGAGCTCGACATGGTTTGCTTGTATTGTAAGTACTGAGATATTACTGTGGCTAATTCAATTTACATCCTTGTAATAATATCTGTCGATCGATCTATCCATTAAGTATTTTTAAAATCGTACATTAACATTTAGAATATATTTAGCTTTTCAAGCATATTTGGTTAAAAATCCTATTTATTTCACTTAGCGCCCCCCCTATTCCACAGCACTAAACATGTGCGAAAAGAATGATGGTTGTGTGCCTGACATTTAATTGAAATTTGGCTAAACCAGCAAAAAGATGAAGGATAAAAAAGCCAAAACTGCTAAAACCAAAGTATCTAAATGTTTTTTATTTGTATCTCCTGCCATCAGAGCGAGCCTCAAATGTTAAATTGACAATTTACATCTGGCAGTTATGGTAATAATTGATAGTTCTTTTTGGACTGAACATTTTCCCCACCTTGTTTTTAGTTACATTTTATCAACTAAATCTGATACTTTCTTTCTTTCTGTTTCAGTATTCAGAAAAGATATGCACTGCAAAAAATATCTAAATATAAGTCAACATTTCTTCAATCATGTGTATTTACCCTTAATTTGAGTAAATAAGATTGCCAATGGAATGGATATTTTTACTCTTATAATAAGAGAAGTAGATAAAATGCACTTGAAATAAGATAATGCAATTGTTTTTTTCTTATTATTAATGTAAAATTGTCTTGTTCCATTGGCAAAGGCTCTCACTTGCCTCAATAATTCAAGAACAAATGAACTTATTATTCATTTGTCAGTGCCGATGAATCCGTCTCACTCAGTGAGACATGTAGCTTGCCAGCCCGAACGCTTTCCCTGGGTAGTAACACCTACCTCCATCATCAAACAGCCACCACACATCAGTGGTGCCTTTAGGCTGTTTCTTCTTAAAATGACGACTAGCCTCTATCAGCCTCTCGTTCATTTTGGCGACCTGCGGTGGAGGGGGCCCACATACCGACACTGTTAGAGAGAAAGACAGAACAGACAGAAAAATAGGCTCAGTATATATGTAAGGGTACACGGAGAGGTGATTTAAAAGGGAACAGTGGGGCATTTGAGGCAGACTGATCATTAACAGACAAGTACAGACATTTCTCAGGAGGATGAAGACTGTGTACTAATGAGCTTTACAGTCTTGCCAGAATGGAGAACACTGGTGGTGCAGTGTGATGCAGAGACATAGATTGATAGAGTGGGAGGCTGCATGGACCCACTCCTATCTGGTTTTAAAGTCTCCTTTTAAAAGATGCTTCTCAAAGTGGAACAAATGGGAGCATATTATCGGATTACACCCACAGCAACGTCTTTAGTTGGAGCAGCTGATTCAATTACACCTCAACGGGAGTGAGGGAAAAAAGTTCCACAGAAAAAAGACGTGAGCCATTGACTTCATTTGTTAGATATATATTATTTTATCCCTTGATTTGAAGCAAATGAATGGAGGAGGGTTTTTACACGTTTAGGAGTTATCCACAGATTATTTTTTATGCGTCAGAGCATGGATTAAGGGCTATCAGAGACTCTATTATTACCATCTACTACAGCGGGTAGATACCTCTGGTTGTGAGTACTTGCTGAGATGACTTCCTGGACTTCCTGAAGAGTCCCTTGGCTTTTCCTCCATTTGGCATCATCTCATCATCCAAGGCATGTTGCTCCTTAGCTGCTCTCAGCATTTCCTCTGAAACATAACCAAATAAAACTTTAGTGTAATTAAGAATTATTAAGGAGAGCAAGAAAAGGAATGAGGAATATTTGTATAAATGTTGCAACTCGTGCATTTATCTGTCCCATTTAAACTACCGTATGTTTTTTGTCCCTATTCTTATTAGGTTCAGTCAGAAATACTGTACTTGCAGGATTTTTATGTCTCCTGCTGCGTGTCACTGCTAAGGTTACAATCTTATTCAGGGAATGATGCAATTTCTCAATTCAAAGGAGCCAAAGGGGAGGAAATCAGATGTTTCCATGATTTTCACAAGTTCCAATAAAACACCCCCGTTTTCCTTTCTAAGAAAGTGAAAAGGGAACAGGTGTGTCTGATCTGATTGATGAGTGGTAGTGGCGTGATTTGGAGAGAAGCTGCATTGGGTCAGCTAAAATGAAGAGCTTTGTAAAAACATTTTACAGGATTCAAAGTTCATATTTATCAGAGTCTTCACTGTTTTCCATGAAAACAAAAAGAGAATTTTTTTTATAATACTTTGAAGACTGAATTAGTGGAACTTCTTTTAAGACAGTGATTGACCTGGTAGTTGGAAATCGGGAATACACAAAGAGAAATGTATCATCTGATATTGTTTTATGGCATGATTGCAAGTTGTTGTTTCTCTGGAACAAACCGATATAAATGTTCTATAATCGACAAATCAAAGTTCTCTGACCAAAGTTCATATCAGATTATTTATTCAAAGATATAAAAAAAGACACAAGATTCAAGTCAAAAAATGATTACAAAAAAGATAAACAAGATTTTAAAGATTTTTTTGTTTTTACTTTTTTCTTTATTTTATTTTCTATTTTTATTCGTACTTAAACAGAAATCTACACTCTGTGGTCCAATAAAACATTTTAATCCTAAGGGACAGAAAATCCCCATAACAAAATGTTTACGCTTAGCTAAAAAAAAATTTCCATTCATTATTTTATTTTTTTCAGTATCTTTCCATCATATATAGGTAAACTTTGTTTTGTGTGAGGCGTAAAAACTTTTTAGTTTCTTTCTCAACCTTTCTAAACCTTTCTGCTATTTTTCCCCATTAATCTCATAAGTAAAGTTGAAAAATGTTAATTTATTTCTTCCGGGTTGACCTGCACTTCAAATAAATATAAGCCCTCACTGTATTAAGCACATAAACAACTATCATCTTGGTAGGCATACTCAACCTATGCTGCTAATACAATGTTGTTTAAGCAATTAAAAAAGTCCCATTATTGCAGTAATCTGACCTATAGACCAAAATTTATTTATACATGTAGATGATAAAATATCGGTGAAGGAAAGTGTGGATAATGAAACACACAGCTTCCTTATACTGACCTTCTTCCTCAACGATATGTGATATGTCCATTCCCTGTTCCATCCTTAGCACCGCTGTCCCATACTCAAAATCAAAGGCATCGCTGCCATAAAGAGAAACAGTTCATCAGATTATCATGTTGATCTTTTGGGTATTTGAAACTGCTGAGGGTGATTTCACATTCTTTGCTTGTTTATTTGGGATACTTACTGTAGTATCCCCACATAACCCTGCACTGCTTCTGCTTCTGCAGTCCTCCAGTCTCTCTTAAAGCCAATCATTAATGTGTTGGGCTTCAGGCGACCAAGACCAGCAGCCTGCGAGAGAAACAAAAACTTTTGTAAAACCTTTAGCTCAGGACACAGACACCTTGTTATAAGATCAGGAGGTCTGATGAACTTAAAACTATTTCCAAATATTCAAAATGTTCTTTATATGAGAAGACCAAGTCTCTGTTTTACAGCTAGAAGTTATGACCAGAGAAGATAAGTCTCTGTCTGCAGGGACTTATTCAGTGCAGCGTTAATCAATTATAGCCTTTAATCTTCTGTGCTGTTTGAAGAGAGCAATCCTGACAATGAACAGTGGCCTTATCCCCAGAGCGTGATAGTTAGAGCCATAAGAATGTCTCATTAACTCCCTCCTCTTCTACCTGTTTCTTCAATGTCCTGACAAGTTTCTCGAGGCAGGTCATTACAAAGTAGTGCTCGGGCAGTAAAAACAGGGACACACACTTCTGCACATCTGCCACGTTCCTGTTATATGATCCCACAGGTTGCATATTATTGTAGTGGAAAATTTGTGTCACTTGTTTTCGTTTTCCTTCATTTTCATGTGTAGATGACGTCCACACTGACCTGCAGCAGAGTCTCTGCACCTTCCCGGAAATTTTCGCAGGCCACAGCGGCATAAAAGGCTTTGCGTTTTTTCTTATTGAGCCACAGCTGGTTCTTTTCCATCCCAACGTTCATCTCTGGTAGGACCTCTGATCTTGGACCCTTAAAAAGTAAGAAACAGAGTTGGAAAAAAAAAAGACAAAACTTAAGTTTCCTAAGTTAATAGATTTCTTTACTCTGTAACTGTTCGATGTTCTATTAGTTGTGTGAAGTCAGCACTAATGCTTTTTATAGGCTTTGGTAAATATGAGACTGCAATAAAAACCTACCATCAAAACTTCACAGGTGATACAGAGTCCATAATTCTTGGTCATGGAGTGAGCCAGATCTAGGAGAGCAGGTCTGGCCCGTGCTGATCCAGTTAGAGCCAAGATCTGAGGCCTGAGTAAGAACAAAAGCTGTGTCATTATTATTCTCCAGATAACCATGATGTCTTTTTACCTGCTAAGTGAATAAGCACGTTTATTCACAAACATAACTAATCAATGTCGATATAACATCTAGTGTGAGAAGTCGTTTTGTGAAGGACATTGCTTTGTTAAATGTCTATCTGGCTATCGGAGCTAAAAATAGCTTGGATAGCCCTTTGTTACAAAGCATGAGGAATATGATTTCTGCAGGAAAAGTACATAAAACAAAGAGGAACAAAAAGTTCACCTTGGTGGCCCAATATTAGACCCTAATACGGAGGTCTTCAACAGGGGGTCTGCAACCCCTAGGGAATCCATAGAGGTATTCGCAAAAGTTTTGGTTGATTAGACTTTTTGATATATATATATACCGTAGTAAACAGATAAATGGAGGCAGAAGATGTCTTTAAGTCATCAATGCACACATTCAGCGACACACAGGAGCTCTTTCAAGCTGGGCGCCGTTTTATTCACAACACCTGTCCCATCAACCATGAATCAGATTGAGAAATACTTTAATAATCCCAGGGAGAAATTACTTTCGTTATATGACACCTTCGGTAATAGAGTGACTATAGGACTAGTTTGATATAACACAATTTCATGCAATATATTTATAATTAGGGGGTCCCCGCTCCATCTCGCCATCAGTTTGGGGGTCCTTGGCCTGGAAAACATTTAAGACCCCTGCCCTGATAGATTCAAATAACATTGCCTGATCTGATCAATATTCTTTTTAACAGTGGCATCAAGATGCTCTAAATGAGAATTCAACATGTATATGAGATCCTCTGGCTGCTGGTGAGTAACAGCATCTTCCATACAATCAGAGTCGCCCTCACTGCTAAAAGGGGTCCAGCTTCATAATAACAACTGTACCTAATATAGCAGCCAGCAGAGGTGGTTAGTAATTAGTTACATTTACTATGTTACAGTTAGTGGAGTAACTTTTTGACAAAAATGTACTTTTAGGAGTAGTTTCACTGAGCCATAGATTTTACTTTTAGTTGAGTTATATCTTTATAAAATATTGCAGCTCTTACTTGAGCAAAATGTTTGCTACTCTGTCGAGAGTAACTTAACTGAACAACAAACATGCTTGTTTTAAAATGGAAAATGCTCCAAAAAGACAAAGTTAATGTTTATGTCAAAATTAGCTTCTTTTTTTTTTTTTTTTCGCAAACAAGCTAAATTGAACCTTCCATGAAATCTAAAGGTCAATTCAATCGGAGTAAGGAGCAAATATTGTCACTGGAGCTACTGGTTTCATATGTTTTCTCAGTTACATTATCTGTTTTAATTTTATTATAGTCTATAAAATATCAGAACACATAACTTTACATTTTAGTCAGTCTTTATTACATAATTTTAAACATCAAATGTTCTGATTAGTTACTTAGTACTTAGGTATCCTTTTTAGCAAATACTTTTTACTCTTACTTCAGCAAAAAAAATATGATAAAGTAGTTTTCTACTCTACCCACTTCTGGCAACCAGTGAGTGTAAATGGAGTAAAGGTGCTGCATATTTTTACCTGAAGTTCTTGACATGATCTTCCACACCGGTTAGAGATAAAGAGTTGCTGACGGCACTAACAAAAGTCACCGCCTGTGTGGACGATCCCCAGTTCACCTCTGCAGAGTGGGTTCATTAGAGGTTAGTTCTACTAATATTTAAATGATCCCTGAAGAGCTTTTCAGCCTACAAACATGTTCACCTGGTTTCTTGACTGTGACGTAAACGTAGAGCAGAATTTCAATGGCGTATGTGAGAAGAGCAGCCCACCAGTTGATGACAAACATGACCACACAACAGAGCAGGGCTCCCAGCAGAGAGAGCCACATGTTGTAGTATTTATATGCAGGTCTCCAGCCTAGGAAAAGCATGACAAAGGATAACTCGGTTATTTGTTCTTCTCCTTAAAAGTAGCTGTAAACAATATATTAATAATATAGTAAAAAAAAATTTCCAAGTGTTTTATTGTTATTAAACTGTCACAAGTACAGAGCAACGTAATGAACTCTCTGGATTTAACCCATCCCCTTGGGGATCAAGGTTAGGGCATAAGCCCTATGCCCTAACCACTAGGCCGCCATTCCCCAAATGTGTATAAACAAACTCATAGTCATTATATTGAATAAAGAATTTCATATTAAACTCACCTGGAGACTTGGCGTAGGAAGCATGGAAGCAAGAGAAGTTGATAAGAGCGTAAGACGCCAGGAAGAAGTTTGAGATGATCGGAGCAATGGTGTTCAGATTACCTGTAAAAATAATTTAAAAAAAGATCTAAAAAAATGTGTATAGAAGCTTTTGAATTAAACAGTGAGTGCACCAGTATAATCATACAGTAATTAAGGAATAAAACTGCCTCTATTTGAGGTGTTTGGTACTGGTTCATTATATGAACCAACATTATATGAAGAAGAGATTTAGACATTTAGCTAAGTTAAGAGCCAGCGCTACTACAGTAAGATGAAATGTTTTTTTGTTTTTACTGATTTAAAGTATCTGTGGGAATCTCAAACGATAATAGACTTCAATTCCTTCTTAGTGTTTTTAAGAGGAATTATCTAAGAAACTGAAACAATATTCAGTGGAGGTTGTCGAGTTTGTTGCGCTCAATAAAAATCTTCTTTCTTTAACAGCGTAACAAAACATTTTTTTTAACTCGAGGCATCCATAAAAGTTAAAATGCAACCATGTTCACATTTATAAGCACACCTGCTGGTAAAGGTAAAAGAAAAAATATTTTTTTTTATTGCAAGAACATCATCTCACAGCGAAATAGCTACTGGAGCTTTCTATTAATCAGTTTCAAAATGTTGGAGCTTCTTTTGCATCCTCCTCGTAATGCATGATCAGAGGAGTAATCTACAAGTAATAGGAAAAATACTACAAGTGGGATTTCAGTTTTACCAGGTGTGCTAAAAAATGACAGTAGTATAACATCAGTGTGAGAATGTTAAGATGTTTAAGTAATGCCCAAGCCCTTTACTGACCAATGAGAATAAAGGCCACAGAGATAATAAATGTGAGGACGTAGCCAGGGATTGGCTCGTTGTTCTTTCCGTATCCTTTGGCAAAGAAATGCAGAGCTGTGTAGATGTTGTCTTTACACAGAGCCTGGGGTGAGACAGAAATTTGATTAGAAATGTTGATGGCAACAGAACTACCTTTTTTTTGAAACTCAAAGAAAAAAGTCGTTACCTGGAAGACTTTAGGAGCACTAACAAGAGAGGCCAGGGCAGATGAAAGTGTGGCTGAGAAGGTTCCTGCAGTGATGAGGTGACCGAACCCAGAAACCATGGTCATAACCTAAGTCAAGGGTGATAATTAGAGCGCGTCATAGTTGAACAAAGCATTTTTGTTCTTAATGAAGATGAATTAACAATTTTTTTATATGGAGGATTTTTTCCATCACGCTTATCTCAAATGGGGTCGCAAGGGGTGCTGGTGCCTATCTCCAGCTGTCTACGGTCAAGAGGCGGGCTACACCCTGGACAGGTCGAAGTCCATCGCAGGGCAACACAGAGACAAACAGGACAAACAACCATTCACACACACACTCACACCTAAGGAGAATTTAGAGAAACCAATTAACCTAACAGTCATGTTTTTGGATTGTGGGAGGAAGCCGGGGTACCCAGCAAAAACCCATGCATGCACAGGGAGAACATACAAACTCCATGCAGATAGACCCCAGGCAGGGAATCAAACCTGGAACCTTCTTGCTGCAATGCGGCAGTGCTACCCACTGCGTCACTGAGCAGCCCTATATCTAACCAATATGGTAATAATACTTTAGAACATCCTGCCAGTCAGATTAAGGTGAGATTCCCTGCTGGGGTTGCCAACTGTTCCTTAAGAAACTGCCCTGCGCTGAGAAACAAAAAAAGGTGTCTAATGTATTTCAGGTGTGATTTAAATGTTTACTTAATCAATTCACACAAGAAAAAGAAAAAATAAACTCATAATTTCAGTAGATTGAAAGACAATGCGTGGCTAAGAAGTTAGCCTTATTTAATTTTCACGAAGTTGGCCACCATATTTCCAACAATGCCAGAAACTGGTGACACCCCGACATCCCACCCCCTGATTGCAAACTTGGGGCCAACTAAAAATACATAATGATGAAATATACACTGAAAAAAATACTTTTTGATGCAGTAAACTATTAGAGTATTCGTCATAATTTCTACTCTGTAAGTTTTACTTACATTTCCTTATACTATTTAAATGTTTAATAGCAGTATGCACATAAACCTCAAAATACTACATAAACTTTACTCTAAAAATTTAGCATTTTGAATCGCACGCACACCACATGCACACTGTAGCTCACAGCAGGACTGCTTCTGCTCTGTTTCTGTCATTTTGCAGGGTGCTACAGTATTGCCAAAGAATGATAAATTCCCTGAACTTGGCATACCCTCCCACTTTATGCTACACTTTTGACAGAAAATGGATGGATGGATTCCAGTTAGACGTCAAATTTCTGTTTGGCCCATGAAAGATTGGGCAATTTAATACAATATGGTATATAATGCTTTGTTAATCTGTTTAAAATGAAAAATAAACTGTTTAATGTATATTAAATGTATAGACTATTGGATACATTTATTAGGTAACATTTGTCAAAAGAAAACTGGCAATGATTACCTAATATTAGTGAGTAATGTAACATAATGCAGCAAAGTAAATCAATATTTGAAAAACAAGAAAATAATCAATATCTTCTCAATTACTTCATAACAGCAAATATTACAGGGATTTAATATTTACTTAAAATATTAAGTAAAATCCTTTTGTGCCTGTAAAAATCAAGAACACTTTTCTTAGTTTGTTTAAATAAATCCAACTTACAACTTGGATGTAATTAAGTAAATTTTACTTAATTTCTTTACAACTGTTATGTCTTATGTAAAGTAAAATTCACTTGATATTGGCAAGCGAGTGTTACTTGACATTGCAGCATTAAACTTGACCTAAATCATTTGCATGCAAATACTTACAATGTATTTTTTGACTAAATCTTATAAGTTGTTGTTTTTTTATTGTATTTTTTAAGTAATAATTGTTTGGTCGCTTACAGGTGCTGGTCATAAAATTAGAATATCATGAAAAAGTAGATTGATTTCAGTAATTCCATTTAAAAAGTGAAACTTGTATATTATATTCATACATTACATACAAACTCATATATTTCAGATGTTTATTTTGTTTAATTTTGATGATTACAAATTACAACAAATGAAAATCTCAAATTCATCATATCAGAAAATTAGAATATTGTGAAAAGGTTCAAAATTGATGGCCCCTGGTGCCACACTCTAATCAGCTAATTAACTCAAACCACCTGCAAAAGCCTTTAAATGGTCTTTCAGTCTAGTTCTATAGGCTACACAATCATGGGGAAGACTGCTGACTTGACAGTTGTCCAAAAGACGACCATCGACACCTTGCACAAGGAGGGCAAGACACAAAAGGTCATCGCTAAAGAGGCTGGCTGTTCACAGAGCTCAGTGTCCAAGCACATTAATAGAGAGGCGAAGGGAAGGAAAAGATGTGGTCGAAAAAAGTGTACAAGCAAGAGAGATAACCGCACCCTGGAGAGGATTGTGAAACAAAACCCATTCAAAAATGTGGGGGAGATTCACAAAGAGTGGACTGTAGCTGGAGTGAGTGCTTCAAGAACCACCACACACAGACGTATGAAAGACATGGGTTTCTGCTGTCGCATTCCTTGTGTCAAGCCACTCTTGAACCACAGACAGCGTCAGAAGCGTCTTGCCTGGGCTAAAGAGAAACAGGACTGGACTGCTGGTGAGTGGTCCAAAGTCATGTTCTCTGATGAAAGTAAATTTTGCATTTCCTTTGGAAATCAAGGTCCCAGAGTCTGGAGGAAAAGAAGAGAGGCACTTCATCCACGTTGCTTGAAGTCCAGTGTAAAGTTTCCACAGTCAGTGATGGTTTGGGGTGCCATGTCATCTGCTGGTGTTGGTCCATTGTGTTTTCTGAGGTCCAGGGTCAACGCAGCCACATACCAGGAAGTTTTAGAGCACTTCATGCTTCCTGCAGCTGCCCAACTTTTTGGAGATGCAGATTTCATTTTCCAACAGGACTTGGCACCTGCACACAGTGCCAAAGCTACCAGTACCTGGTTGAAGGACCATGGTATCCCTGTTCTTAATTGGCCAGCAAACTCTCCTGACCTTAACCCCATAGAAAATCTATGGGGTATTGTGAAGAAGAAGATGCAATACACCAGACCCAACAATTCAGAAGAGCTAAAAGCCACTATTAGAGCAACCTGGGCTATCATAACACCTGAGCAGTGCCACAGACTGATCGACTCCATGCCACGCCGCATTGCTGCAGTAATACAAGCCAAAGGAGGCCCAACTAAATACTGAGTGCTGTACATGCTCATACTTTTCATGTTCATACTTTTCAGTTGGCCAACATTTCTATAAATCCTTTGTTTTTATTGGTCTTCAGTAATATTCTAATTTTCTGATATGATGAATTTGAGATTTTCATTTGTTGTCATTTGTAATCATCAAAATTAAACAAAATAAACATCTGAAATATATGAGTTTGTATGTAATGTATGAATATAATATACAAGTTTCACTTTTTAAATGGAATTACTGAAATCAATCTACTTTTTCATGATATTCTAATTTTATGACCAGCACCTGTAATTTCATCTTTTAGAAGGTTTATGACATTTTTCTTAATGTTGTCCCCTCTTGGCCCTCTGTAGTTCCCAGGGGGGAACTTTGCATTAATTCCTTGAAATCAAGCTTTTGCCTAAAATGCTGTTTTAGATTTTAGAAGACACACAAAAAAGAAAGATTTTTAAAAATGATAGAAGCTCACTTTCAGGGAATCATTAATAAAACTAATTACAGTTAAGCAAATATGTTAGAAAGGTTTCCATACCTGGAAGTTGTTCATCAAGCCGAACTTGCATGGTTCTGTTTCGCAGGAAGTAAAATCATAGCCCAGTTCACAGGCCGCTACTGCTGAGCCGTTACAAAACGTACCGGGAATAATGAGGTCGGTTGTGTTTCCTGTGGCATCTCGGACGACAGTACCAGCTGACCATGAAAAAACGAAACACATGTCTTGCTTAGAAGTTTTTCAGGGCAAAAGTTTTGTGATCTTATCAAATAAATCTCAGTTTGTTGAAAGAAATAAAGAAACATTTAAGCACTGTTTGAGAAAGGATGGAAGAGTGCAGCTCACTTACAGACACAAAGGGCCACAGCGAGGTAGGTGACACCAGTAATCAGGATGGCTAACAAGGTACCTTTGGGTATAGCAGCCTGGGCATCCTGTAAATTAACATATGGTATACGTCAGTTTGAGAAAATCTAAAACACACTGACTTCTGCAAGAAACGTCTGTATTTAAAGGTTACCCTCAAATCTCCAGAGATGTTAGCTCCAGCCAAGATACCGGTTGCCGCAGGGAAGAAGACAGCAAATACTGAGAAAAATGTTTCCCCATCCCTAAAATGTGGTCTAAAGTTCTCCATAAAGATGTTTGCTGTTTGAGAAAAACAAACAAGAAAAGTTTAACAAAAATATGTGAAAAGAGGATAGAGTTAGTTTAATGCTACTTGTAATAAGTTCATAATATCTTTGTGATAAAATGGGATTAGGAAAGAGGATAGTTTCTTACTTTGATAGCCAAAAAATCCCTTTGACTTCTTGTCTTCTGTTGGGTTAAGGGCTGTTCCTACAAACACATTCACTATGGCCACCAGCAAGATCACAAGTAGAACGATTTGTGCCTGTGTCAAAAAGAAGTGTTTTTTTTTTTAGTTAAGTTTGGATCTCTTACAAAAAAGGTCCAGCGAACCATCAAGACGCAAATTGTTACCGCCTCACCTTTGCCTCCCATTCCATTCCAGCCACAGATATGCCTAAGAGCAACAGCACCGTAATGCAGCCAATGATCCTGATGTCATTCAGCTCATCCACCATCAGATGGGCATATTCCTAAGTGCATCAAATATGAGATAAATACATTCAGATATCTTGAAATCGGTCAAGTTTTACTTTGCTCATCTCTTCATTGTAACATTACACACCTTGAGTAAATCCACCACTGTTTCTGCAAAGCCCACCACATACATGGCCACAGCCACTGCATTGGCGAAGGCAAAAATGAGACCAATCGAGCCTCCGAACTCTGGCCCCAAACTGCGAGATATCATGTAGTAAGCTCCTCCTGTTATGGCAAAAGTAATTTTAAAGGATTCCATTTTAGTTTTGGTGAATCAAAAATTTCAGTTGTTGTTGTTTTAAAACCATTGTGGAAATAAATGATACTACAAGGGAAGTAAAAAAAAAAAAAAAAAAAAAAATACAATTAAAAATAAACTTATAGAAACAGAAAAAGAAACAATCTGATTCTTCAAAAGGAGCAAAAAAGGAAACAAAACAAAAAAACAAAACAAGTGAAGTTAGTTTTAAGCTGAAGCAATTGGAAATTTAAATAAGTACTTAAGTCATCAGCTCTGTCAGCAGTGGAATAAACAATGTGAATATAGTACTTCTGTTTGCATCATCTTTAATATGCTTCAAATCATTAAGATAACTTTTTATTTAATTAGAAATATCCTTTACACCAGTGGTGATACAATTATGGATGATTGTGAGAAAGTCTCCAGGCGGTCCTTAACAAGCTTTTTTCTTCCAAGAATGGCATTGGCCAATTTTAATTGAAGACTAACTCTGACTGACTCTAGTATGTTTTAAATAAGGTGGTTGCAGGACACAAAACAAACAATATCATTGATCAGAGGGTATTTTTCTCCTGAGAAAACAGCTTAGACATCTCAGGAATGCTGCCAAGAGCTTATCTCTTAATATAGTGTTTCCAGCAGGTAATCTTTGCAAATATTTTATTCTAAATGCTAAAGATGCTTGCCATAAGGATAGACACTCATGTTAAGAATGCATTATTCTCATAAGTTGCATTTTGTGTCAAATTGGGAGAAAGCTTTTTCAACAATTGCTCTGTTAGGGTATTTCAATCAGAATTCAATTGCTTACAGCTGATAGTTTGTATTATTATTCAATTAACCTAATTTTCATTTTGTCAGCTGGGACTGTATATTTAAGATCAGGAATGTTTTAAATGACCAGCAGTCTTTTTGTCTTATGTTTGCTTTCTATGTTGCTGACTCATTTTAAAGATTTTAGTTCTCCTAGTGAAAGGTTCAGTCCGCTGAGGTTATCTGCAACAGAACCACATGCTGTATTTTTCTATATATAAAGGTACATCTCAAGACCAATATCTGTGGTGGATGATTAATCGCCACATTACTGATTGATTGATTTTTATGTGAGAGCAAGGTTGTAAAAAAGCGAATAAGATTGGAGAAGGTGACATTCAGGTGCCGTGTCTAGCCTTTGTTACTTCATCAGCAAACATTGTCCTGCTACTCATTTGATTCTCCCACTGAAGCATTTTGTGTCACAGAATGTGTGTTATCTTATAGAATACATATATAAAGAATGTTTTACTTGCTTAAGCTGGCTGCCGTAGTTATGCTATGAATAAAATACCAGCATGGAAGGTTAGTCAATATCTAATCTCACTTATCTCATCAGAGTTCCTTTCTAAATATGAAATATAGCAGCCGATTCGCTGACCTACCTCCCCTAACAATCCCGTTGGTGCAAATGGCAGACATGGAGAGGGCTGTGACGGTGGTCACCACACAGCTGAGAGCAATGACCACGATTCCCAGACCTGAAATGTAAACATGTTTTAATATAAGAGTGAATTCCACTCCATCCAATATGCCAATCAAGTTGATAATAAAACAGTGTGTTATCTGAAAAATGGCCTCCTTGATCTGCTGGAGCTTCTAGTAATAGCTCCTTAAATACATTCTTAAAGCGATCTGTCTCTCAATCAGTCACACATGTTTGATAAAGTTTCCTGATTAGAAGACATGTTTAACCTTTGCTGTAGGACTCAGAGATGGCAATGGAAATTAACAACTTAAAGTAAAACCAACTGTAGTTTTGACATATGGGATTTTTTGGCCCCTTCTTTAGCTACAAATATTAACAAGACTTTCTTACTGTTGTTTATGAGTAGGATTTTTACATGGAAAACACTATGAGCTTGAGAGTAATAAAACAGTTTGCATTAAGCCAGAATTATATAAGATGGTCGGATAGAATTTCCTCAAATAATGCAAAAGCTTTAACCTGGTCGTTGGCTTGAAACAGCAAATGGAAAAATACATGTTGAGGGTATTTCCAAGTGTTGTAAAGAATACAAATTACCAAATAAAATACATTTTTCACTCACCCCAACCTGCCTGTCCAAAAACCCATGACAGGCGGATGAAAAGCATCACACCCCAGATGTTTAACATACATCTTACCTGCAAAATAAAGCAGCAATTTAACATAGATTAAGATTTTTTTTATTTCAGCCACATTATATCTATTTTATTTTCTCTTACCAACCAATAATCATACGGTAAATATATTCACAAACTAATGTAAATTAGCCCAAGGCTCTGGTTTTGAAGTTAGTAATGCATTCTACATAAAACACTATTTAATGTAAATATTAATGGGAATATCCAGAAGGAGCTCTTCAGTAGCAAACTTACCAGAACTCCCCTAATCCAACCAAACTTTACTGCTCCTTTTTTTTCATCAAGTGGAGCTGCAGACTCCAGATCATCCGAAGGGAATCCTTCACTATCTTCGCTCCTTTCGCCATCATCTGTCACCGTTTCGGGCACAGAGATTGGACCATTCTATTGAAGAAAATTTGATAGGGAAAAATGAACTTGAGTCTCTCATCTGTCAACATAGAAAGCCCTATAAATAGCTGTTCTCCGTGTTTTTATGATGCAAAGTAACTTTATCGGTCAGATTTCTAAGATGGCTTGGACTTTAACTGTATATATTTGGTTGTTGCTTGATTGCTTAAAATAGCATTAAATCAAGCAGTGTTTTACAAAACTTAAACATCAAAGTTCCAAAACTGCCACTCTGTAAAGATCCACCATTTTTGTATCCATTCACAAATGATTATCTAGTCCAAAAGCTATAAACCTAAATGAACCATGACCTAATGTCTTTGGCAATAGGTTCAAATAAACAGCAATAAAAACAAATAAAGTGTGTCAAGTGTACTGATGCTGTTCAGTTCCAGAAATAACATTTTATCTGCTATCTGGTTTAGTTTTACAAGGTTAAAGATAAAGAGTTAGCCACTGACAGACAGAGATGCTTTGGTAAAGTTTTATGATTCAAGCAGCGTCATTCACTCGCTGGAATAGCTGTCTCTCAGAAGCAGAACTGAATTTCCTGTTCTTATCGTAAGATAGTTTTAAAGTAGGAGATTTAAGAGACAAGGGGGAAAAGAAAACAAGAAAAAAAGACATGGAGAAAGGAATTCAGATAAAATGTTCTCAGGCATCATGAGAACAGATGTGCACTTACCTTTTGAAAAACATCATGGAGCTCCTGCAAGGATGGCCTGATAGCTCGGTGACCACTCACACTGCCGGCGTTACGGTAGAAGTTAATGTTGGGCACTCGGTCTAAAGTATCATGACCGAAAGCACTGATTACTGAGGGCCTGATCGTCCGATGGTCATCGTTGGACAATTCTGTCTCTTCATAGATCGGAGGCTCATCATGGTTGGAATCAAAAGCTGAGTTGACATGACCCTCTTTGTTTGACTTCCGCCTCTCCATTGCAAATGCTGGAGATTCTTAGAGTTGAAGTGTGAAAATAATAAAACAGCTGTCTTCAGAAAACCAACAATCAAATAATGGGTGCAGATCTGAGAATCAGGGTTCCTTGAGCATTGAAGCAAAGCTACACAATGACTGGATTTAAAAAGATCTCCTCTTCTGCGTTGAATTTCTTGTGCATGAAGGTTCCTACTAGTCAACGGCCTACCTTTATACTCATGGTCATACACTGACTGCCAGCTATTGGTCAACTCCTTGGATCAACCCTCAGAAAACTTAACCAAGGGGGTCAGATATGTCCTCCATCCTAGGGGACATAAAGGCGTTGCTTAATCATTAACCAAAGTCATAAACGGCAAGAGAAAGATAAAGGTGCTCATTGCCCGAGTTCTGGAAAATTGATTACTAATATTATATGCTGAATGGCACATGTTGTTCTATGGTTGCACTTTATGGCACTGTGAGTAGTATTTCCTTAGATCTAGAGGCTCTTTGCATGAATCACTGGGAAATATAAACATATGAAGATTTCCACTAGAAAAACGCCAAGACATTACTGAGGGACAAAGTTTTAAGGTTTTATGTCAACTAAAAACAGATCATTTAAAGCATATATCAAACAGCTCTTATTTCTGTCTATATATATTCAATATGCTCAATAAAAAAAATTAGATAAAATCAGGGGGAGTATCCTGACATGTAAGAAGATATTGGGCTCATAATAGTTATATAACTGTCTAAATAAATGTCTGTAATGGCTCTCCTATCCACATAGATTTAGAGAAGAAAGGCAGAGGGTTAGCTAATGCAGACGAAATGGCAGCATTCAAGAAGAAAATGAGAGTTAATAAAAGACCAAAAATTACAGGAATATGCCGGAGGCACTTCACATGACTTCTAAAGAGCCATTAAAAGACCTCTTAACAGGTAAACTTCCTTATTACTGATACACCACAGTGATTTATGCATGCAGTGAAAGCCTGACTAATGGCTTGAAATCTGACCTTGGCTGTATTGTTTGCTGACAAAAGAAACACTCTCCAGCATGTGTTTTTATGTATAGGCTGAAAGAAGACAAACAGCAGGGCTCATCAGACTTTAAACAAAGCTGGAATGATTCCCTGCAAACATTATGGTGCTGCAAGAGTTATGCTGAGGAGAGAAAATTGTCAACATATGATAGACTAACTGTTCAATCACAACTTCTAACATTTATCTTCTCAGTCATATCACAACAGGTCATTTTTCAAAATCTGGATTTGTATGCTCTGCTTATGCCTGCCTGTTTTGTGTCTGCACTGAGCAACTATCTTTATGGTCCTAAAATTAAAAACTAAGAGGTGTGGTAGGAATATGTTCTCAGCCCCCCTGAGTCAATAACACATTCTGAGATGGATGTTATCAAGTTCTACTGAGGCCGGTTAAATTATCTATTCATTTGATTCAGCTGCATTGGATCAAAGATTTATTTATAAGGAGCTGGACAATGGCTTTTTTATTACAGGAACTTGAAACCGCTGTTCTGAAACTTTAACTGCTGATCTAAAACTTTAACTGCATCTCTGGCTGTAAGTTTGGGGTCCTTGTCCTGCTGAGTTAAACTTCTACTGCATTTTAAAGCATTTGAAATACTTTTACAGACTTTATTTCAAAAATACAAATAATCTACCAACTTTACCAGCTTTGCTATGACGGTTAATTAAAATTCTTCCTACACCATAATGTGTGCTACTATGATCTTGGCCCTTCAAAGTAATATTAAGGGTTGGTTTTCCACCACACACTTTATAGCTATTTGATGGTCTTTTGCATAAAATCGAAGTTAAGAATAATAAGGCCTGTGGTTATTGTTTGAACAAATATAAAAATAAATTCACATGTAATGATCACTCTCACTGTCATATTATGGGGGGAGTGGCAGCCTAGTGGTTAGGGCATTGGGCTTTGAATCCTGAGGTTGTGAGCTCGATCCCCCACTCCCACAGACTGCCACCCTGGGTCCCCGAGCAAGACCCCCAACCCCACACTGCTCCCCGGGCGCCTCACAATGGCAGCCCACCGCTCCCCTAGGGCATGGGTTAAATGCAGAGAGTTCATTTCATTGCTCTGTACTTGTGACAGTGTAGTGACAATAAAATTGAATTAAACTATTAAAATTAAAATTAAAAAATAAGGCATGCTATCTTTGCAACTGCATATCAAAACCTTTAAAATTTAAAGGCAAATGTCATAACTTATGCAAATATTCCTTTCTGTAGGTCAGAAAAAACATACTATTATTACACAACACATTGAATAAAGCACATCAGATACTAGACACACTGTGTATGTAAGCATTTTAAGAGGTGTCATTTTAAGGCCTTATACAGCATAATAATAAACTAATAATAATTTTTTATCCTCACATCATTAATTAAAAAGTCTTGTAACACCCAAACACTGTGCACATAGCAGGAAATCCAAGAACAATATGCATTAGCTCATAAAAAGGTGCCATTTTGAAGCAACTCAAAGTAAATAATTAAACTTAACAGCTTTCTAATCATTAATTTCTATTATAAAAGATTAAGATATCTTAGAGTCGGTAAGCATTCATGTATTCATCTTCAGAGAAATTCAGAGGGGTTCAACTCATACATCAGATCAAGTATAGTCCCATTCAATTTAAGATTTCAAGTTATTTCATCTAACAATCAGTAAGTTGTTTACGAATAGATAGATTAAAGTTTAGAATTTTGACTACAGAACTTCTCAATTCAGCGGACCAATCACATTAGTGCCAAAAGCTATTCTTTTTTAAATACAGTGGTAAATCTATAATTAGAGGCATTGCTTAACTACAGTAATAAAATAGTTATTGTATCAGCTCGTCTTATCAGAATAACATCAAGGACAAAGCATGGGAAGTTCGAAGACCACAAGTAATAAAGCTAATGTTTGATAATCAGCGAAGTTAAGGTCCAATCATCTGCCACCTCATCAACCTGCACTGTTACAAGAAGTCTTAAAGTTCTCATGAGCGCTCACAAAAGTATATTTTTATGTTAATAATCCCTAAACATAACCCTAAAAAAGAAAATTAAACCAGGGTGAATGGTTTTAAAAATTCAGGTTATTTTAGTCCTTTGCTGTCTGCAGAAGAGTGAGAGATTATAACTAAAATTATTTCATGCAAAGGTCTATTCTTTGTTTTTATTCAGTCAATAAAAAAATCTTAAAATTTTTTTTGTAGAAGATTAGTCAAAACCCTTTTTTTAATTATTAACAACTCTTTTGTAAAATTTAGTTATGAGTAGATTTAACAGCTGGCTCTACCTGAAAATAAAAAAAAGAATGTAAATACAGTTATTGAAATATCTTTAACAGCGAGCAAATTTGTGTTTCCTAAATTCATTTCAGAAAACATTTTAAACCTTTATCAGATTTTGAGGAAAAAATCGAAAAAAGTCGCTATCTTACCTGCAGCAAGAAATTATTTAAGTTTTGGATAAAAACCAAATACTTTGCTGAAACGGCTGAACCTGATGTGTGATGAGAAAGGAGCAGATTGTAACCATATAAAAGCAACTCAGTCTTAAAAATGTTAACATGCTCCTACTTTTAAAATCTTTCAGCCAACCTTAGCAATCATTACACATTCAGATGATTTCACTCCATGTGTCATTTCTATATGTGAGGCTTTTATTTTTAAGGCAGTAAGGCAATGATTGGTTTAATTCATTAGAATTCTATTGCAAATATAAATGTGACCCTGAACTGCTCAGTGGTTTTAACAATAAGCCAAAAAGGTTGGAAAAAAACTGGGTTAAACTTTAACCGCACCTCATTTAAGGAGCTTTTTACACGGTGTCAAAAAAGTAACAAAAACCATCAAATAAATTTAAAGTGATATAAAAGGAGTAATAAATCTTTTTTTAAAGATAGGTGGCAGAAAGTGAAAGTTTTGTTTCTTCTTCCAAATTACTTAGAACCCACAAACCTATTTATCAAAAAGAAAATAACATATATTTGATAACTTTGTAATGCCCTCCAAATTTCAATAGGTCTTAAAAACATATAGAAATTTATTTCTCCCCTTTGGGATGAATAACAAAGGTTCAAATCAAATAATAATAAGATAGAATTTAGGGAAAGAGGTTTACAGACAAGTAATTTAAGCTTCATTTTTTCTGGCCTGTGGCAGAAGAGGAAAAAAACAGCAAATATTCTGCAGCAAATATTTCAAGATAAGGATGTCACATAGGTGACAAAGATAATGGAGCAATAAAAATTGCATTCCTAACTAATGATGCATGTTAAGGAGGGAGTTTATGGTGAACCTGAGGATGAGTCGGTGGGTTTTCCACCTCATGATATGTCCTTTCACAGGCCTCTGTGAATTCTTTCATTCTACTGCTCCTCCAGAAGGCACAACTTCAAGGCTTTTGAACTTTTAGTCTATTGGAGATCATGATAAAAAACACTCTATCACTATCTTCTTATTGTAAAAACATTTAAAGACATGATGTGAGATTTTAATGTACGTTACACCACATATTTTCCTGTACTCATTACATGGTAGCCCTGATAAATATGTGTAAAAAGCCCTACATTAAATTTGTATTTGACTAAACTAATTAACTAACTGAAAGGTTTTTGTAAAATCCCTTTATTTATTTGGTGGTGACAAAAGAAAGGCATATTTCCAAATGTTCATACCCAGAAATAAATATCCTGTCCTACAGTAATTGGTACCCTTATCAATGCCTTTACAATGAATGTTTAATATGCTTTTACGTACTTTACAAAGGTAAACAAATCAATTTTGAAATGTTTCTTTTAATCAGTAATACTCAGCTCAAGCTTTTCCCAACAAACCTATAAGCTGCTTTTAAAAATCTAATGATAAAGACTTGACCAAAGCGCTTTACACTACATGCAGTCATTCAGCCATTCACTGATGATGTGGTTACATTGTAGCCACAGTCGCCCTGGGGCTCACTGACAGAATCAAGGTTGTTTAACAGGCGCCACCAGTCCGCCACCAGTAGGCAATGCGGGTGAAGTGTCTTGCCAAAGGGCGCTATGACAATGAAAGCCGGTGCTTGAAACAACAACCCTCCGTTTGCAGGGCAAACTCTTACATTCAATGCCACTGTTAGGCAACTTAGGAAGTCATTTTTGGAAAATCAGTTTAACCCAACACTAACTGACTTCTCAACCTTCATAAAATATTTCTAAGTGCTCTAAGTACTCCTCTGTCATGGGTCTGCGTCACTTTCACAGACACCAAGCAACTTTGAGGAGGATGTAAGTAACCCTGTCACATAAATGACTACAAATGTGCAAATGTGCAGACTGCCTTACGGCATATGTCATTTCCCCCTTTGATACGACTAAATTTCCCTAAGAGACTGTTTATCTGTGCAGATTGTCCAGGATTGATATGAATATCAAGGCAAAGTGGCATCTTCCTGCTGGGATCTATAGGTGTGTTTACAGTGAAATTCTCCAACATAACGTTATAATCATCTGCTTCAAAGCTCTAAACTCTTTCTGCTTGTTAAGTGTTGTAGGAAAAGATTAACTACTGTCAAACTGGCAAAAATCGATGAACAAAATATCAGTATCAATAATACAACAACTGTGACCAAACAGAAAAAAATAATTTCCTCAGATTAAATTCTTTACCTTTTTGAATTGAATGATTTTCCGCTGCAACAAATCAGAATTTAACGTTAAGACAGGTATCTATTTGGAGAGGTGTCTATTTGGACCCAAAATGCAAAAAAGCTGAACATCAATGTTTAAAGTGAATAAACCATTTTTTTTTATTTCACATCATCAAATCGAATGAAATCAATGCAAAATCTCTATCACCAGTGGAGCAAGCAACCGGCCTGTCATTATAGTATGACGCTCACTCAGACACACCCACACACGGGTGCTCTAATGGTTCTAGATGAAGGCACATAAACCCATTGAAGGTCACAGTAAGGCAGATTCACAGCACTAAGGAGAAACAGTAAACTGTAAAAATTGGCAAAGGAACAGTCCAGACCACACGGTCTGATCAGAAAATGATCAGGAGGGTTCAGGATGATCTAGGAGAGTCAGGAAGCATGATCAAGTGTAGAGCTGAAACTCATCCCGCCCTTGTTATTTGCCACACCTCTGCTGGGCGATTTCCTCCCATTGATTTGAAACATCAGTGCTCTGAGTGAAGAACGTATTTTGTCTCATTTGTTTTTTCTCATTAGTCAACCAGTTTCCCATTCCTCCAAGGCAGCAGCAGTACAGTCTCTGAGTTCCCTTTGCATTGTTTAGGAACAGCAGTACCACAATGTAGGTCACAGTTTGCCTTTGTTTTTCTTTCGCTGGATGACTTAAGAAAGCTAGAAGTGCCTGCTTTCCTTAAGATTCCCAACAGACTTGTTTTGAATAGGTCACTTAGCACTATTTTGAAAATACCCTGTATCCACCCATTTACATTCTTGCGCTGAACAGTTCTGCTGTGCAGAAGTGCAACCACGCCACCCTCTGTTTTGAGTTCATGTGAGGAATCTTGTCCCTGAGTCTTCAGTCTCCCATCCTGTTTCATTGACGTCCACCTTATCGTGACATTCAGCTTGTAGGTTAAAGGGAGCTACATCCAAGTTCTGTGTCAACTGATGTTCTAAAAAACACACTTCCTGGCAGAAGGGCACCCAATGTGACACGGCAGCTGCCTCAATTTCACTCTCTCTCCCAGACACACACAATTCATATACAGTAGAGGTTCTCTGACCTAACAATTCACACACATTAAATGGCATACACAGCTTTGACTCTAGCTCTGTTCATCACTTGAAGGTATCTTAATGGAGTGTCAGGTGCAGTGGTCGGTCAGGCTTGGGTATCTGTTTTTCATGTTTGTGTGTGTTTGTGTCCCGTTGTCGCATCGTTAAGTGAGGGCGTACTCAAATGTCCCTTTCTCCAACCCCTCGATGCCGTCGGCCCAGTTAGAGGAGGGCATGCTGCTGTAGGGGTCCAGCAGGATCCTAAAGCAGCGTATTATCAGCAGTCCCAAGAACACCAGCAGCATCCCCACAAAAGCAAACGCTGTCTTTTGCTCCAGAGTCAGAGAGTGTGCCATTAAGTCGTTTCCGCTCATAGCAGCAAGGGAGTGGTTGAAGTGGACGCTGCTCATGGTAAGCCCACCTCTAGGTGCCTCATCTCTCCTTGGATGGGGTCAGGCGCTTAGAAGCCTGCATGTTACCTGGACAGGGGTTAAATGATTTCCTCTGTTAGTCCTGTTTTGTCTCTTGTGTGGGTAAGATCTATTTAATGCAGCTCTTAAATTACGATTAGCTCTGACATAAAGAGTAATAAAGGTGCTGATACAGTAAAAGGGATGAAGCATTATCTCATTTAAATGCAGGTCTGAATAAAAGATGAAGGACTACTGGTATCTTTAAATAGCTTCTTCTGATTTTGGAATTAAGCAGATGTCCAGAGATCTGTCCAGCTCTGCACCTTTGGGAATTTCTCTGCAGAAAGCTGCAACCAGCCAGCATGTATAGAGGGGCTGTGAAAAATACTTCCAACCAAGTGGGTGCAGCAAAACCAGCCAAGGTTGTGAGACTTTACATTCCTTCAGGTCAGATTAGAATAGCAGTGTGTCGCAGTGCACAGCCAGTCATTAAAACACAAACAGAGCTGATGTGCAAATTACAAAAATGCAACATCTGTATAAGATGCAGCCCTGCATGTGTTTAGTTCAGAGGGAACACATCTCTACCTGTTGCATGTAAGCAGATGCCTGCAAGACAGAGTAATTCCATTAGGCAGCAGGAGAGTGACTGTAATTGACCACATGTAATTACAAAAAAACTTTTTCGGTCACATGAGTGGATGCCTACCTAGTGTCAGTCAACATCTTCTCATATTTTTACAGCAAGCAGCAGGTGGGTAAAGTAAGAGGAGGAGCGGTGGATGGGAGAGGAAATGCACACGAGGAAAGAAGAGGAAATGAAGTAGAATAAGGAGGAGAACACTGCACAAGTATGCTGAGGGAGGGAGTGAGGGCAGGGTGGATGGGAAGGACTGCATTGGCAGATTCTCTAGGATGTCTGAGGGAGCAAATGCAGGTGTCTCACCATCATTTCAGTGCCATCCTTACAGACCTGTTGCTGCGGATTCCTGCAAGCAACTCTCCCTCCTTCTCCTTGGAGCTCTCAGACATGTATCCATCAATCCATCCATCCCTGGCATGCTGGATGCACTAGGCTAGCCGCTCACATCTGAGTAAAAGAAATCTGAATGTAAAAGAAAAAAAGAAAAGAAAAAAAAAGAACAGAGGCGAGGGGCTGGATCAATCCGTTCTCCTTTTTTCTCCTGAGAGATGCAGCTCCTGTCCTAGCGCTGCTTTACTTGCTGCTGCCTCCTGCTCATTATCATTCTGTTTCTCTATCTCTCCCTCTAGAAGCTTGCACGCTTGCTCCTGCTGCATGGCAACCACTTGTTAGTCTCACTCAGCTGCTCTGTGCCTCACTCATTCACAACAGATCACCCCCCCCCCCCCCCCCCCCCCCCCCCCAGTAATGCCAGGACGAATGCAGCAGCACAGAACAAGCCACCTGCATCTTCTGTTTATTGTGTGACAGGAATATTACGCTTTATCTAGCAGGACAGATTGCATCCCTGGTTGCTGCTGGCCACAAAAGGCTGCTGCAAAGATATTTTTGGTACAGCACAGCCATGCCTGATGATGTGCCTGTAATTGGTGCAGTTGTCTGTGGACAAATTGAATTAAGCTCACAGTTTAAAAGACTTATTAATGCAAGCAACCAAAACCTGCTGTGGGAGGATGAGGAATATTATTAAGAAAAGGGATGAAAAGCAGCTTGGCACGAGAAAACAAACAGCAGGTCATCTGTTTGCCCCCACTAAGATATTGCAGCAGAGAACTCCCTAGCAATTTGTTTGTTGTCAGGCGGTAGGAATTCAATGATACGATTCCACAGATTAAACGTCATAAGGGAGGTGCTCATATCAATTGGTGTGATTTACAATAATTCATACCGTCATAAATCTTTCAGATGTGTACAACTGGATAATACTCAGATATAATATTCCCTTTCATGTGTATGTGCCTTCTCAGTAATTATTACACATATTTTTTGGTTCAACAGCAGTTTTAGGCTTGCTGTGTCGCTGCATTGGGGTGGGAACATATTAGCTGCATTTTGATTTCAAATATAACTCACAGATATTTCCATTCAATAAGATAAGGATATTTGACACTGTAATTCACAGTCATGTCATTACAGAGATGTCATGCGTCTTAAGGTTTATTACATGCAGTGATGAATGATTATAAGAAAACTGATTACAGGATGCATTAATGTTTTATAGTGAGTGAGCTTTAGAGAGTGTTTTGTAATAGTCCATTGTTATTGCTTTGATCAAACAAATAAATAACAGATACGATTTATTTTAGTTACTTTATGAAGATGTTAAGAAAATAGATAACATTTATTATACCTAAGCTTTTAAATAAATCAAAATTTGGTCTATGTTTAGTTACAAGATGGTGAAAAATCTTTGGCCACCGCTGGTTTGAGTGCAGGAGTATGAAATGATTTGTTTACAAGAAAAAGAAAAGGAAACAGGAAGATATACAAACACATTAGTACAGAATAGGGGTGAAGTTGGGCTGAATGGTAGATTTCAACTCATCAAAAAATGTGCCTTAAAGCTAATTAGGTAATACAACATTGTATTACCTAATTAGCACATAATTACACATAATTTCATATTTTAGAGTCAAAAAGAATTCAGAAGTCCTCTATGTTTAAACGCTAAGTGTCGAAAAATTCATACCGTAACTGATCGATCTGTTTACAAACATCATCATTTTTTGCATCTGATGCAGTCTAATTATTTATTTAACATGAAATCTGACCAAAATTCAGGCATAAAAAAACCTTTGTGACTTTTTTAGAAATAAATGCCACCAAGTCAATGACATTTTCTGTTCAATGCTGTGCATTTACTTGGAAGGAAAGCCGATTAAACTAGACTGTTTGTAAAACCTATTTTAATAAGATAAATGTGCCTTATCTAAATGCATTTTCCCAATTATCAATTATAGTTTGCAACTATATTGCATACATAATATTTTTAATTGTACTGACAATGCATACAGTTGAACATTGTCAGTCAGCTTAGGTTTTTCCTTGCTGGCTCACTTTAAGACTGAGTTGCTGGCTTCTAAATCAGATTCTGCTCAGGACCTGATTCAACCTTGTGGTCCTGCCCTGTCTGTTAGCAGGGAAAAGGCATCTCAGATGGTACAAAGATCAGAATCTTTTTGGCTCCGAAAGAGGAACTGCAGTGGCACAATCATGTTGCAGTAAGCATACTATAGTGTTACTCAGCGTCCAGAGGACACATGGAGAAAGATTGTTAAACTTTTATCTCAGCTAGACAACAGGTCAGGAGCAAAGCTGATACTGGAAACTATAAAACATTTATCCCTATAAGGTGCACCAACAGAGTCCCATTTAAAGCTGCAGAACATTACGGTATGTAGCAACCTTGACAATGTACATGTTCTTAGGAATATCAATGCTGATAAATGCATAACAAATGGAAGCCCTTATTCAAATAGCTTTGTCAAAATTAATCAAATATGGATAGCTCTACAAAAAAAGTGCTGTGCCACATTTTGATCTATGACTATAATGGAATAGGATTATGCAGACTTAGTTGCAAGGAGGCCAATATAGAGAAGTGCTTTGCCAACAAAACACAGTGAAACATTTGATTTAAATCACTCACTGGGGTTTATCTCCACATTACAAGAACCCAATCATCTGCAAATGTGAGAATATCTTTAATTTCAGTCAGACTAAATGTCCCACCAGTGTTGCAAACCAGTATGATTTCTCAAGGAAGCCAACATAACTCTAGTGTGCGGCTATCATTTATAGGATACAAACTGAGAGAACATCTTGTGATTCAGGAAACACGTTATCAGTTTAATGACTGTTACAAATTCATTCACAAAGTCGTGGATGTGCCTTACATGTTAAAGGTTAACTTTTCTACTCGACTGTAGACCTTGTTAGTTGGAGCTGGTTTTGCAGCTGATCGCAAAACGTTACCCTGCTTTCTCCGAACCAATTCTTTCTTTGGCCCGGGAGTTTTATCTGGTTTGTCTAACAGGCTACCTGAAGATGTTTAAACATGGGGTATAAAAAATCTGACACTGTATTTGTGCTGTCTGGAATATTGTAGACCTGAGACTTTACTGAGCCTATTCTGGAAATTACTTCAAATCGAAATAAATCGCAATAAACACAATTTTTTTGTTTTATTTTACAAAAGGGAAATGAAAATAATTCTTTATTGTAAATCTTACATAAAAAATTTAACATCATTTACAACCTGTTACACAAGCAGTTTACGGTGGGGGGGGCGAGTGTAACCTCAGCTGGAACAAGGAGTAACTATATGCAGTTTTATTCCATTGCAGAATAGATTTCCTCCACTTTGTGACAGTAAAGCTCATAGTTAAAAACTATTTTTGGTGGGTAATAAAAAGTAAATAACATAATTGCATTGTAGTTTTATTTTCTTTTAAGTGGGTTGGTTATTGTAAACAGTAATTATGCACAGAGCAATGACTGGAGAATAATTCTTCACTTCCTGGTTTTGTTTCTACCAACCACATTACAAGCACATTCCTAAATATGGATCAGCTACTGAATATGTCCTACTGGTAAACAGCTGAATCTGTTAGGGTTGGGCTGTCTTTATAGACAACACTACAATCCAACAGGTGTGCAGTTAGGTAATATGCATTAAAAGTCAGGTTATTTTTAGACTTTGTGCCACAATTTTAAATATTAACTATTAATTATGTTTAGAAAACTGATATGGTTGTGATTTTATTTGTATATAAGGATACTGAACAATTTTAACTAAGGGACCCTTTGAGTGCAGAAACTACAGCTTTTGCCATCTATGCTTCTCAGAACTTTTAAAAAGATGTTACAAAACCTCAAACTTCAAACAATTGGGGGATGTTTCCTGGTGCTTCCCTAAAGCTTAGCTTTGCAACTATTTTATTAAAAAAACCATGAACACATTTAATACAAAAATGGTCAGACTACCGGTTCAAATAGGCAAAGCCAACACACACACACACACATATATAAATCTGCAGCATACAACAGGAGTGGAGGGACACTGATTGAGCAAGTGCACATTTAGGACATCAAAATTAAACCAGTTGTGGGATTTGGAATGCACCTTGAATATGATGTAATAAAAGTGAGGAAAACATAGAATGGATTACCACTGACTGTGAGCACGAGGTGAAGAGGAGACTATCATGGATTTTCTGGTCCCTGTTTACCTAGAGCTAGAGCTGGGCTTTCCTTTGCTCCCTTCATGTTTTTTATTTTTATTTTATTGTTTTCTTGAAAGGGCTCTTAAGTCATAGTTTTATGGGCTTTCTACCTCAGGGAATTTATATTTTAACATTTTCTAAAGTTTTTCTTCCTTTTGGGGCTCTTCAGAACATGACCTTCAGCTTGGTCTGAGTGGTTGCATATCCAAGGGTTACATTGCCAGGATGAGAGTGTGTTCCTCTGAGTCTGAAAAGACAAATAAATAAAGAAACTGTGTCATTTTAATTATTTTAGTACATCCATCACCTAATTTTAACCTCTACCAGAAGCTTATAATTTAATGTCTAAATGAAACAGCGCATTATGTGTCAATTTCCATTTATATCCCTTTTAACCATGCTACTTTGGCCAATACTTTTATTTCAAATGTTATTGTAAATAAAGTCACCTTCCTTCCGATAGGTGGTAGCAATGAGCCTCTCAGTTGGTTTCCAAACCCGCATCATATGCAACACGAAAAAGGAGAACAAAGCCTGCACACATTTCAGCTGCGTATTGTGAGGGTATTGTGTTACAGCTGCAGAAAAACCTCAGTATGGCAGACGTTATAACTGCTGATGAGGAACAAAAGCAAGAAGAAACTACCGCGTCCGTCCCCTCCGAGACGGACGAGACATCCCAGGAAACACCCAACGGTGTGAAAACGTGAGTAACAATGGGGGCTGCGCTCCTCCGTTAAGGAGCTGCTAACCCCTTTAGCTAAAATGGAGGCTCCTGGATGCTAACTGTTGTTAGCACAAATGCCCCTATTTGCTGCTGTAAACAAAAACAGACGGCAATAACAACAATAATGCTCTCAAACGCGCCTTATTGAGGATTTATTGAGACTGAATACTAGGCTAGAAAATATTCTTTGCATTTTTTTTAACGCGTCAATCTTGTAACGGATAGCATAGCGATGGGCTAGCTATGCTAAATGTTTGCTTTACTTTACGAGCGGTTTGTGGATATTCGGTGCCACTTTAATTTATTAATTGGATTAAATTGATTCATTGGCTTAAATTGGGTCCATGAAGTTAACATGTTTCTGAGAATATAACTTAAGATGCAATAATTAAGGCATAAGTGTGCCTTTTGTTTCCGTCAGGTAACGGTTAGCTTCCAATGATGACGAACTAACATTTATAAACGTGTCATAAATGTGTCATAAACACATTTAAAAACAGTTTTAAAAAACGACCTTAATTATTATTAAATTATTTTTGAATATTTTCCCATTGCATTTAGAGGAAGCTCCATTTCGGTAAATTTCAGTATTTGTAGAATGAGTATCCCTCTTTTATTAAAGTTACCACCTTTTACCACATTTTCTAATAATAATAATTAAAGTTTATTAATCTCACATTGGAGAAATTTCTCTCTGCACTTAACCCATCTCTTGGGGAGCAGTGGGCTGCCATTGTGCGGCACCCGGGGAGCAGTGTGGGGTTAAGGGTCCCAGACTGCAGGCTGTGGGGATCAAATCAGGCTCTTGCAACCTTCTCAGAGCTAGGGTTGGGAATTGAAAAGATTTTCACGATTCCGATTCCCTTTTCGATTCTATGAAACGATTTGATTCTTTATCGATTATTTTTTCGATTCCAATTTGGGGGGAAAAGGAGAACAAACAGTTTGATTATCAGCATCAACTTTGTTTACTTAACTATTGCACAATCTTACAAACTCAACAAGATCAAGATGTCCACAGGAAATGTGAAACTGGAGTAACATCTGTGTTTAAATGAAAAATAAATATACAAGAACAAACTTAATAACCAACAATGTCTAATAACAAATGATGGGATAATAACCTATTTTAAATAACAAAAAATACTAATTATAAAACAGTAGTAGGGAAAATTAACAGTTCTTTTGCAGAAAGATGAGCATATCTGCTTTTTCTGGAAGGATACAGGATCTTTCAGCGCTTAAGGTGTTTCCAGCCGTGGAGAACACCCTCTCAGATGGGGTGGAGGAAGCCTGCACACAGAGGTAGTTTTCAGCCAGTCCAGATAGCAAGGGCAGCGTATCTTGCTTGTTCCACCACCACAGTGTGGCGCTATCCCTGCAGGGGATGGAGGGCAAGCTTTTACAGAGCTGGATTTCCTGATCTACCCTCTGGGCTAAGGAAAGACGGGGCTTTGATTCACAAAGTGACCGCAGCTCGTTGTCTTCCTCCTCGAATAGTTCTTCCAACTTGCGTAACTTGCGTAACTTACGTAAAAAACGTGACGTAAGTCATGCTCCCCAGAGCCGGCGCTCTAGGCTCTGGTGCTGCGGGAATCGAAAAAAGAATCGTTCAGCGAGCTGCCAAACGATGCCATGGAATCGGAAAATACGGAACCGGTTCTTAACAGGAACCGGTTTTCGATTCCCATCCCTACTCAGAGCACAAGCACATTGCTCTAACCCACTAGGCCAACACTCCCACTGTATGATATTTTGTAGAGTGGGATTGAGCCATCAACTGTAAGTGACTGGGATTGAATTTACTATATTGTTCAGAGTTCAAATTAGATCAATTTAGTTTTTTCCCCCCTGGGTCTCCATAGAGTGTTCACAGCCAGTATACCGAGAGTAACACACAAGGATCAAAGGGCAAAATAATGACACTTAGCCTGATAAATCAGACGAAATGTGAGATTAAATGTGTAATTTAGTCTGGCCCCGATGAATGAGACATCGGAAGATTGTTGATGAGAACAACCCGTTGTTTTTCAAACCATCTCTGTGCCTATTGGCCAACGCTCTGACCAATGAGTGCAACCGAGTATGACAAAAGCTGGTGGGGGAGTGTAAACAAACAGCCTGTTGGTAAAATGCTGAATACGTCTTTCTTAAAAATGAAGGAGCGTAGAGCCTCTTCCTGCTCACATTTCAACGAAAACCCCAAGTCTAATCCTTCCAAAATTAATTCCAAATCTGAGTCAAACGAAAACTGTTCAATAGTTGTTGCCATCGTCCTTGTGCTTTCTCCAGCGTTATGCAGCTTTTTCGTCCCGCCCTCGAAACCCTGTCTGCTTTGCATCCAGAAATTCAAAACACATCTCTGCGTTGTGATTGGCCCGCCAGTTCTAGGCCCTGGGGCATTGATCGAGGCTAGACCACTCGCAGCCAAAAATTATTTGGGCCGCTGGCGGGTGGGGCTAGTTTTCTAGGCTAAATGACACTGCACTGTGGTGCCAATCTAACCAGCTTCTTTTTAGAGATTGTGTGTGAGGTCCAAACTTTGGGCTTTAAGTCGGTCTGTATCTGAGACTGTGACTGCTTTTACTACACAAATGGCTCTGCATCACACAGCAAAAGGGCTCTACAGCACATCTACCGGAGCATCTGCTGAAAGTAGGGCATTTTCCCCCACTGTTTTTCTTTAATTTTGATAATAGGAGCTGAAAGATCCACAGTATAATGGGCGTCCAAAAAATTGCAATATATTGCCAGATACATTTTTTTCCCATACCCCTAATCTCATCTACAATGTTAAAGTACAGGTTTTTTTTATATTTTTCAGGTCTGTGTTAGTATCAGACACCATAAACAATGCATATAAGGTAATTTGTTTCCATCTATATTTTGCTTTTTAAAAGTATTAAATCATCATAATATTGGAACACTTTATAGTCTGGTCTTCAGTTCCTTTACTTTGAGCTGCTTAACTAAAATTTACAGTTTGATGGCACATTCATAGGCTTTTAGTAGAGATGAGGGACCTCAAAAACTAAACAAACATTTAATATGAATTTCTAGAAAATGGTGTTTCCAATTATCTCACATTTTCCGCCATTAATTCCTTTTCAATGTGTTTAGTAAGTTCTCCCTAAGCATTAGGATTTCAGTCATCCCTCTGTACAGCAGCTGTGGGTGTTGGACACTCCATCAATGCAGTAGATTATTGACCAGCAGAATGTTAGTAAATGGGACCTGAAAAATTATTAACCGAATACTGCAACCAAATGTCCTTTGTGTTTTTAGATTATTGCAAATATCGATAATGTGGTAGCCCTAAGGTATTGTGCAGCTCTGGTAAATTATATATAAAAATTACCACATTGAACATAAATAGTTAGCCAGCCATCTTCTGCTAGTTAGCCATTTTGCAGTAATTTTTTTTTATAAGTTTCGTGATTGAGAAAAAAAAAAGGAATTTTGGAAATATATTCTATATGTAGTTAATTTGACCTAATTTCTATATTTAATGACTACAGTGTCTTTTATTTTAACATTTGGCACTTGTCCGCTTTCTATAGGGATAGTGAAGAAAGTAAGCAGAGCAAAGAAAAGCATGATGGGAAAGAGAAGTCATCCAGTACCAGAAGAGGAAATCGCTATCATCCCTACAAAGAGAAACATGGAGGAGAAAAGAAAAGTTCTCATAGGAACCGGGTGTTCATCAGCAATATACCTTATGACATGAAGTGGCAGGCGATCAAAGACCTCATGCGTGATAAAGGTAATGTCCCCGGCGATGGGATGGTGTTTTATTTTCAATCATCTGATCTGATTAGAAGTTTCCAATCTTCTAATTATCAGACGGATCCTCCTGCTAGTGTCAGTTTTTCTTTAGTTTGTAGTTTTTCTGGTAGTGCTTCGATAAAAAAAAAAAAACAGTGATGAAGTTAACAATTATTAATATGAAGAAACAGAATAGTATGTTTGTTGGGGTCATTGTTGTTGTTATTTGCTTTATTCAAATTTCTTGGGATGGACACCAATTCAGTTTGTGTTGATATGTGATAAAATAGAGATGAACTTGGTTACATTGTCACTTGTTTATATTGTCACTTGTTTATTTTATGGGATTGTTAGCTCCATAATGACTCTAAACCAGTCTTAAAATGATCGTTGAATGTTTATTTGTTGTATTTGCTGCAAGGCATACCTTGATTGTGAATTTAAAAAACATTGTAATGTTTCCACTTTTTTTTTACCTAGGGGGATTTCTGGAAGCCATTGGAGCTTAAATGGCAGTCTAAAACTCACAGCCATGAATGGAATCTGTCGCTAAACTGATCATGTTGAAGTGTTTTGAATTTCCCAGGTTTATTAGAGCTGTGTGTCTCTCTGGCCTTGGCCTTTGGGTGTCTCAGTCACTGCCCAGAAAGGCATGGTGTTGTCTGGTGGGATGTTGGTCTGGGCTGACTGTTGATCATTAATGGGACATCTCCATCCATAGCGGGCATTGCCAAGGCCAGCGGAAACTTGAAGACTCGGTGACTTAAATTACTTTGTTTTTTGGTATTTTTCCTTTGTATGTCTCATGTAGTTGGTGAGGTTACATACGTGGAGCTCTTTAAGGATGCTGAAGGAAAGTCAAGGGTAAGTTATGTGGCCAACTTGCTGCACGAGGTTTTAAATGCCCTCAGCAGGCTCTCATTAATTATGTGCTCTTTTAGGCTCTGATCCTTTGGCTCTATTGAACTGGAGATACTGTATGTTGTCTTTAGAGCCTAATGAATGGATAAAGATAGATTTTCATATAAATGGGAGATGTCCTGTAGACCTTTGGAAAAGCAGTGTAAAGAACTCCCTAAGAGTAAATCTTTGCATTTGTTGTTGTCATTTAAATTGGTTTAAAAGTTTGATCGTTTTGGCTTTTTTTCCTCAAACTGGAATGTTGGTTTGTGGGATTTTTATCTGATTGAGTCTCATCTCAAAGAATCGTAATTTTTCACGATATGGCACAGCTTTCTCTTCAGTGGAGTGAAATTGTTTTGAACATTTTTTATTCTTTTTTTTCTGTCATTGCTGTTTTTTTTCTCAATTCTGGTGTAATTTTCTTTAGTTGATTAAACAAAAGCATTTTCTTTTAATATTGTTATTTAGTTGCAGATTGAAGTTTTTCATTAAGCGAGGTAATAAATGCTGTGCTTATGAATGCTTTCTAAGTAACATTTTGTGTTTAAAAAAAAAAACACATTTAATAATGGATATGTTTATTAATAATAATTCATTTTTGCAACTTTTCATGTTTTATACAAACATGACAAATCTCTTAAATGAATTCATACATAAATAATATAAAATGCTGGATGTATTTAATTACATTTGATTATAAATTAGATATTAAATGTGTTTTGTTCACTTCTTGGGTGCCACTTGGATTTCTCTGCTGCTCCTGATCAGGGTTGTGGGTAAGAATCTCCTTTATGCTTTGAATTAGATTTTTTATTTTTTGTTATCTTTAATATAGCTGTTTCTTTCTTTATGCTTTAAATTTTTTTCCCTGTAACAGTGTGGTAGAGTTCAAAGATGAAGAGTATGTGAAGAAGGCTGTCTCAACTATGAATAAGCATGACTTAAGTGGAAGACCACTAAACATCAAAGAGGTAAGATTAAAGAATAGGTTTATCATTTTCTCTCTTTTTTCATCAAAATTACAGCTTTTACTAAATGTTTTATTTACTTTGAGTAGGATCCCAATGCTGATAGCACCACAAACGTTAATGATAACACAACTGCTAACAATCAGGAGTGGCTGTGACTAAAAACCTTTCTTTGTGTATGTTAATCACAATTTTATTAATTGGTTTAGCATTTTTCTTATTTAACTCAACATCAGATTTATATCAGCATTTGATTTGTTGTTTTTATGAAAGTTATTAAATATTGCGGCTTTCAAAACTCATCTTTAAAATACTATCTTCTTAGAACCACATTAAATCTCTTAAAGCTACAGTGTGTAATAATTACAAGGATATACAGTCAGAAATGTAATATATTATACAAAACTATGTTATTTATCATCATCTACGAGCTCAGCCTCTTAACCTTTATATTTGCGTTGCCTTAGAATTCGTTATTTTATAATTACATAGGAGCGGGTCTCGCAGCCATGGAAGCAGACATCTTTGCTCTACGGCAGCGGAGAGCCAACAGACTAGCGATTGCGAGATCGCCCATTACAATAACATGCTGCGTGATGATGCTGTTACTCTCCAGTATACTTATTCAGCAACGTCCCTGACGTTTCACAGGTAATGATTCAGTAATTTTCTGTAAAATAATTTTCTGGATATATACCTCGGTTACTTCTCTCCGGCTCCTTTGGAGATCTTCAAGCCTTTCCTCCTCTGCTCTAGTCACCCCGCTGGCACCCCTCCCTCGCCTGGCCCTAGCTGCACGCCCACCCCGGCCTCTCTGCCCTCTTCCTCGCCTTGTAACCCCCATGCCACAAACAAGACTTGGACTCTGTAAACGGGGAATATATATTCTTCCAGCGAAAAAAATCTCGCTGTTAAACTAATGACTACAATTACTTCGTCTGTTTATATCACCATGCAAAGCAGCTCACCAAAACGTCACAACGATGTAGAAAAAATAACGGGTATATTTATTATCTTAAGTCTACATGAAATCTATACCCTACACAGACTAATAAAATACTATCTGTAAAATTATCTATGTAAACAAACCTCATCACTTGAGAAGGTAGGTGATGCGGACGTCGTGGAAGACATTTTGTCCCGTAACGCTCGCCGTACTGTTGGGGGGGGAGACGCGGTGGGGGGGAGATGTTCATGTTGCTGCGGTCTGCAGTCTGGACGTTAGATGTCGCTGAAAATTACACACTGTAGCTTTAAGAAAAAATATTTTTTTTTAATTCTTTTTCCTAATTCATCTTGATTCCTGAACATTTTAATTTAATTTCCAAGCCAACGTGTCCTTAAGCTTTAACATGTGTAATCTACATCCAGTATAATTATAAGCTATCTGTAGAATGCTTTCAGGTTTTCCACCATTTTTTTGCTGCTGAATTTGCTTTTGTATAAATCTTGACTTTTATGCTTCATACATAACTCAGTGGTGGAACCCTTTACTGTGTTAAATGTACATGCGTGATTCTGTAGCAAGTAGTGGAATGGACAGATATTTTACATTTATAATTTCAAGGGTATATTTACACCTGCCACATTCAGATCTGCTAAATGGATTATAGTTTGTTTCCCTCCTTGGTCTGGACCTTTGGTGCTGAGTGGATTAAGACCAGTGAGCTCTGGGCTGGAGCTCTGGGCTGGACCACACAACCTTTTTGAGGTGGTCTTGGCTGTTTTCAAATTGAATCAAAACGAACTCAGTCACTGTTTGGACTGAATAAGCCACTGTTGTAATATATATGTTCAATTTATACCTGTTTCACTATCTGTTGCTTAGCAATGCTGCTACCAGCAAGCAGCGGTTCTTCTGCAGATGGTCACAAAATTCAAAATAAAAAAAATGAAAAATCACAATGGTTAGCGAGGCCTTAGTCCTTGATGTGGCTGACCCAGGGTTCGAACTTGAACTGTGGTCCTTTGCTGCATGTTTCTCCCCCTCTCTCATACTCTCTTTCCTGTCAGCCTACTGTCCAGAAAACGAGCCACTAGTGCCGTTAAAAACTAAATAAAAATTAGAAATCTACATTAAATGAGCTGCTCTAGGTACTCACAATAGTTTCGTAGCCATAATAGCAGCATAAATATGAATATCGGAGGTGCTGCATGCCTGATTCTCAAAGTAGATTTCCTTTTATGTTTGTATTCTGAGAGCAACCACCATAGTGCCTTTGGATGAACTTAAATTACACTTTTCACAAACTAAGCTTTGAATACAAAAAAAAAAAAAAGAATTTTCTGTAGATGTGGACAAAACAAGCAGACAAAACTCTTCTTGCGCTCATAAAACCTTGACTTTATCAAATGGTGTCCATTCTCATTAAAAGCTGAAATCAGGCTTTAGAATAGTGCCAACAGGAAAGCCTCATTTAGATGCTACTTACAGCTGTTAGCAGCTACCTGTTGGCTAGCCGTGGTATTCACACTGCACTAACTTGTATTTTCTGTTAGCTTTTTTTTCTTCTCTATATTGTAATAGAAATGCAGCAATCCAACTCCCTGATGGGATACTGGCTCTGACTTGTTAGCCTGAACAGCTATCAGACGAATGATGGTACTTCAACGTTCCGTCCATTAATTTCTTTTTTCATCAGTAGGCCTACTAGTCACTTAATTTCTATGTGTGCAATATGTTATGTTTTCACACACAGCTGCTAGTGATGATTTATATCTGTGTTAATTTCTTACCTCTTTTTAATATTATTTTTGTCAAGCCTGATGACAAGATTTATAGATCGTTTATTCAAAAGCAGTAACTATTGTTATGTTGTGGGTCGACACATTCAGCCTGGATATCAGAATCGATCTGGAAAAAAACTGAGTGCATATCTGTTTTGTTTTTTAATGTATATACAGGTGCTGGTCATAAAATTAGAATATCATGAAAAAGTAGATTGATTTCAGTAATTCCATTTAAAAAGTGAAACTTGTATATTATATTCATACATTACATACAAACTCATATGTTTCAGATGTTTATTTTGTTTAATTTTGATGATTACAAATGACAACAAATGAAAATCTCAAATTCATCATATCAGAAAATTAGAATATTACTGAAGACCAATAAAAACAAAGGATTTATAGAAATGTTGGCCAACTGAAAAGTATGAACATGAAAAGTATGAGCATGTACAGCACTCAGTATTTAGTTGGGCCTCCTTTGGCCTGTATTACTGCAGCAATGCGGCGTGGCATGGAGTCGATCAGTCTGTGGCACTGCTCAGGTGTTATGATAGCCCAGGTTGCTCTAATAGTGGCTTTTAGCTCTTCTGAATTGTTGGGTCTGGTGTATTGCATCTTCTTCTTCACAATACCCCATAGATTTTCTATGGGGTTAAGGTCAGGAGAGTTTGCTGGCCAATTAAGAACAGGGATACCATGGTCCTTCAACCAGGTACTGGTAGCTTTGGCACTGTGTGCAGGTGCCAAGTCCTGTTGGAAAATGAAATCTGCATCTCCAAAAAGTTGGTCAGCTGCAGGAAGCATGAAGTGCTCTAAAACTTCCTGGTATGTGGCTGCTTTGACCCTGGACCTCAGAAAACACAATGGACCAACACCAGCAGATGACATGGCACCCCAAACCATCACTGACTGTGGAAACTTTACACTGGACTTCAAGCAACGTGGATGAAGTGCCTCTCTTCTTTTCCTCCAGACTCTGGGACCTTGATTTCCAAAGGAAATGCAAAATTTACTTTCATCAGAGAACATGACTTTGGACCACTCACCAGCAGTCCAGTCCTGTTTCTCTTTAGCCCAGGCAAGACGCTTCTGACGCTGTCTGTGGTTCAAGAGTGGCTTGACACAAGGAATGCGACAGCAGAAACCCATGTCTTTCATACGTCTGTGTGTGGTGGTTCTTGAAGCACTCACTCCAGCTGCAGTCCACTCTTTGTGAATCTCCCCCACATTTTTGAATGGGTTTTGTTTCACAATCCTCTCCAGGGTGCGGTTATCTCTCTTGCTTGTACACTTTTTTCGACCACATCTTTTCCTTCCCTTCGCCTCTCTATTAATGTGCTTGGACACTGAGCTCTGTGAACAGCCAGCCTCTTTAGCGATGACCTTTTGTGTCTTGCCCTCCTTGTGCAAGGTGTCGATGGTCGTCTTTTGGACAACTGTCAAGTCAGCAGTCTTCCCCATGATTGTGTAGCCTATAGAACTAGACTGAAAGACCATTTAAAGGCTTTTGCAGGTGGTTTGAGTTAATTAGCTGATTAGAGTGTGGCACCAGGGGCCATCAATTTTGAACCTTTTCACAATATTCTAATTTTCTGATATGATGAATTTGAGATTTTCATTTGTTGTCATTTGTAATCATCAAAATTAAACAAAATAAACATCTGAAATATATGAGTTTGTATGTAATGTATGAATATAATATACAAGTTTCACTTTTTAAATGGAATTACTGAAATCAATCTACTTTTTCATGATATTCTAATTTTATGACCAGCACCTGTATATATATATTATTTTTTTTTTTACATTTTTCTTATTTAAGGACCCTGATGGTGAACACGCCCGACGTGCTCTGCAGCGTATGGGAGGGGGCCAACTTGGGGTCCGTGGGCAGGACATAGGGCCTGGTGGGCTGAACATCCCTGCTTCAATTGTGAACAACCCCAACATACCACCTGAAGTTATCCACGCTCTGCAGGCTGGAAGACTGGGGAACACAGTGTTTGTAGCTAATGTAAGAACTAAGCAATGAGCCTTTGTTTAATCTACATAATGGGCTGATTTAAAATACAGTGTTTTCTCTGCTGCAGCTGGACTTCAAAGTGGGCTGGAAGAAGCTAAAGGAGGTGTTTGGCATGGCAGGTGTTGTAAAACGAGCTGACGTAAAGGAGGACAAAGATGGAAAAAGCCGCGGAATGGGAACAGTTACTTTTGAGCAGCCTCTGGAGGCGGTGCAGGCCATATGTATCCTTTGAAAACTCATTTATGGAAAACACAGCATTGCTCATCAAATTAAGGTTTTTCTTTTGTCCTTAACTCCTGTTTCAGCCATGTTTAACGGCCAGATGCTCTTTGAAAGGCAGATGCATGTGAAAATTGTATGTTGGCTTAAACGTTTACTGAATATTCCAATGTCTAAAGCTTTGCAGAGGTTTTACAAGTGAAACATTTTTATTTATGGATTTGTAGGATGAAAAGTCTCTTCCTCCTGACGATTTTGGTCCAGTAGAGAAAATACCACAGTTGCCACGTAAGTAAAAGTTTTGAATGCCACACTGTATAAAAAAACTTAGTCAGACATCAGCCGAAGAAGAAATACTGGAATATATTGGACTGCATCTAAAATCTCAGCTTCTGCTGAAACTTAATTACTCAGTAAGTTGTTCTCATCTCTGTTGTAGTTGACCGTTGTTCTGTTTTATTAAATTCAATTGATCAAGCCTTTTAAAACATTCCAAAACAAAATAAGTAATCAAAGTTTGTATGATTTTGTTCTGATGTTGTTTTGGGCCATTATATGTATCGGTCCATAGAGTTGAATCAGGAAATCCCTAAACTTCACCACAGTTATAGTTATAGTTGTTAAGTATAGTTAGTTAAGTTATAGTTGATGCAAGTTTCAAACCCTTTTCTTGAGATGTTTTTTTTCCTTCCCATTTTGCTCCATTTTAGGGGGCCTAGGTGGCATTGGTATGGGTCTTGGACCAGGAGGGCAGCCTATAAATGCAAACCGCCTCAGTGGTGGGGGAGGAATAGGCCCTATGGGAACCGGAGGTCAGTCAAAATCAGTCTTTACAAATGCTGGGAAAGCCACAGTGGCGCATGTTTTCATTGCTCGTAGTTTCATTATATTACTACTCATTTTATGCAAATCCAAACTAATTTAATTCTAGTGCATGCTTTTTTTCTGCACTTTAATTGAGCCTCACTAAGATTCCCTTCTGCCACAGGTATGGATTCAGGTTACGGAGGGATGGGTAGACTTGGAGGAGGTAGGATTTATATTCTAGATACATTTTTGTTGTCCATTCAAAGACCCTACTTATGTTTTTTTTTTTTTTTACTAGGAATGAGTGGGGGTGGAGGCTTTGGTAGCATGGATAGCATGGGTGGTATGGGGGGCTTTGGAAGCAGAGACATGACCCCAGTTGGCAGAATGGGAGGTGAGCATTTCCACCAATAAGATGAAGATTTACTGAACACTGAGATGTAACCTTTTAACTTGTAGTAATGTGTATCCATCAGGAATGGGTGGATTGGATCGGGACTTTGACATGCCCATGAACCGCGGATTTGGAGATTCTTTTGGAGGAATGGGTAAGAAAGAGATTTATTAATGCCAAACATCCTCCTGACTTATGCCTTTATTTCACTTTATCATACCTATCACTTGTTGTGTAAATTAGCTAAAAAAAAATCTAGACTAATTAAGCTTTTGTTCTTAAGGTGGTGGTTTTGGAGGAGGTATGGGACCCATGGGAAGCGGTTTAGGTAGGTGAAGAATTTCAAACCATGTTTTACTACTGTCCCTTAAAACATAATATAAAACACAGTTGATCACTATAAAAATAGTATTTTACTGTCATTTTGTTCTAGCAAGATCCAGGGTTATTTTGATTAAATAAATAAAAAAAGTAATTTAAGCATGATTTATTAATGATTGACATTCTCAACCACATTTCCTGTACTTTGTTCTCCCTGAAAGGAAAGCATTTTGGAGCTATTAACATGTATTCAGTTTAAATTGTAAGGGGGGGGGCTTAATTTCTTAAGCATAATAAACAGCCATTTTGGGAATGTTTATCAGATGATATTTTTTATTGAAATTTGAAACCAAATGTTTCTATGTAAAAGGCATATCCTTAGGCGTGTTTCTTTAACAGGTGGTGGAATGGGCAGTATGTCCATGGACAGAATGGGCTCCAGCTTTGATCGTGTCGGCATGTCTGGAATGGACATGAACCGGGGCTTCGGAGGGTACGGAGGCGGCGGACATATGAGTGGAGGCATGTCGGACAGGGGCTCCGGAGCCAAAGGCGGCTGTCAGATATTTGTGCGAAATGTAAGTAGCTAAAGGTTTGAAATCATTAAATTGATCTTAATGATGAATCCTAATGCGGGCCTTCAGCTTAATACATATTTACTGCCATTTTATAAGTGATCTGTTAATTAGTGATGCTCTGAACAAACTATTCTTTCCTTGTATCAGTTTCCTTCTTTAATGTCTGACCGACTTCTAGTTTCACTACTTGGCCTTTATTGATTTGCTCCTAGAAAGAAAATGGTGCTTTGATTCATACCGATCATCGATCAGATCTGAACAAGGAACAAATTGCAGATCTCTATTTCAGGCTTAATGATTGGTGCATCTCTGCTTGACCTACTTATGTTCAGAATTTGCATTTTGTTCTTTGCCACAACCTGACTTGAGGCATTTGTGTTGCAGCTATCCTATGACCTGACGTGGCAAAAGTTGAAAGACAAGTTTAGTCATTGTGGTATGAATTACATTTTCGTTTTTTTTGTCTAATAAACTCCTTTGACATTTCATCATGATTGATGAACTAATCTGTCAGGTGCAGCCTTAACATCCCTTATTATGGACGATTCTGGCTGGGGATCACTCATTGCTGCTCTTTCTTTTTTTTTTTTTTCCAACAGGTCATGTAATGTTTGCAGAGATCAAAATGGAGAACGGAAGGTCAAAGGGTTGTGGGACGGTGAGATTTGATTCTCCAGAGAGCGCTGAGAAAGCCTGCAGGATGATGAATGGAACCAAGATCAATGGTCGAGAGGTTGATGTCCGCATTGATCGCAACGCTTAGGGACCTTGTAGAAGCTCCAGCAACACTTTTCACTGAGGCCCCGTACCAATCATTGTTTTGTTTTAAAAACACTATTATTTCCTGTGTCCCTGGTTTCATTTTTTTTTTTTTTGTTTATATACTGCCGCTAGCTGTTTTACCTTTGTTTTATAAACCCAGTTATAATTTGTCAGGAGGTTTATTTGAAGAAATAAACTTTTTAATTTTTAAACTTTATGCTTGTAAACTTATTCAACCTGCGTGTCGATCCTCAGCTCTTCTGTTTGTCACCTTCACAGAGTTTATCATAGATATTTCAGAGCACAAAAAAACTGCACAGCTTTGTACATTGGTGTGTGTGTGGGAGGGGGGGTCAACTCCCATTGTTATAATCCCTCTGTCGATTTTTATTTTTACTCATAAACATGACTTTGACTTGTCAGGGAGTAGGCTGTTTGTAATGGGATGAGTAGAGCTTTATTTTTACCATTTATGACTCGTCAACCCTACTTATAAAATCTTATCAGCTGACACTTTATTCGAGTTTAACACATTTTCACCTTTTGTTAAATCTTACGTAAAGTCTAGAGTCATGGCCAAGCTGGCGTACTTTGGCGTGGTATTTTAACTGGTGCCATTGCTCCTTGACATTTCTTGATCTCAGCAGCTTAACGTTTTTTTTTTGTTTTTTTTTTAAAGCTGTTTGGGCTTTTAGTCTCAGGAAATATGCTTCCAATCCTGAGAAGGTCAGGTGTCAATCACTGCACAGTCGTATGGGATTGTTCCCAATAATCCCTAACTCGTATAAAATCGACAGTGTGGCAAACAGGACGTAGCAAATAAGGCAAACAATCCCCAACTTCCAGTCCAGCCTCCAGCTGTTGATGTGCACTGCCACAAAGAGGAAGACAATGGACATAAGTAGGATGGATGAAATGAAGAGCAGTCCGGTACTGTTGACCTCTACTGGGGTGTTGGTGTCCACAAAGGCAGTCCTGATGAACCAAGGTAGGCCCAGGCACAGCATGTCAAAAACATTGGAGCCCACTATGTTTGACATGGCCATGTCAGCTTTCCCTAATGAACAGAGAATGTAGTTAAATGCTGAACAACTTTCCCGTTTGTAGATGTAGTATTTTGTGAAAATATACCTTCTCTAGCCACCATCACACTGGCTATAGTGTCGGGTATACTGGTTCCAGCAGCAAGCAAAGTGAGTCCCATAACTGTATCTGGTATGCTGAGGGTTTCCCCTGAGAAAAGAATATCAAAGTAGAAATATAAAACATTAAATGCAGACTTTGAAAGAACTGCCTTACTGAATGTGTCTACAGACTGTCCAGAGTGATTGCTATGTAAACATTCACGTAATCAGTCTTCGTAGTTGATTGTCCCTTTTCATCTGAAGCAATCAGTTTTGTGGCTCATTAGTTTAAAAGATATTGTACATAATTTATTGTTCACGCTCTTTTGTCTAAGCTCTCCCGTGTGTTCATGTCTGCTGGGATACTAATCTCATTATGCATCAGCAGACCTACGGCTCTCACATGATATCTTTTCAGCCGGACCTTGTTTCAGCTTTGTAGTTCACATCCCCACTGCAATGCATTCTGAATCTCTTAGAACAGTGCCCTGGTCATGTATGTACGTTCTGTGCTCACATGACTTGCTTTCCTCAGGGGTAGGGTTGTAATCCTGCTATGACTGGCCACGCACATACAGCTGCACTGTAATACAGCCCCCTCTCCAATTCCCCAGGACAATGGCATCTCAGGAATTAACCAGAAGACCCACATGTGACTCTGCAACGTTTTTCTCACAAGTCTTAAGCACTTGTGATCCACAATGGTTTGCTAGTATGATGCTGGTTTACACCTACTATATATTCTGATCATCTACAGCTAAGGAGAACAAAACTATCCTTTCAATTTCGACTTGAATTATGGACATCTTAAACAGAGAAACTCTAAAATTGTTTTAAGATTACCTCCATTCCAAAAAATATCTGTTTTTCTTAAAATAAGTGCATTTTTATTGAAACTGAGTATGTTAGATACAATCTTTACCAATGGAATAAGATGATTTAGAAAACAATTGCAGTGTCTTATAATATCTTCTCTTATTTTAATGGTAAAAATACTAATTCCACCAACAGATCATCTTATTTACCTACTCAAATTAAGGGTAAATACACTTATTTTAAATATCCTTTGAAGTGTAGAAGCTAGCTTACCTACAACAGTGACCATCCAGACCAGCACATATGTGAAAGCTGAGATCCAGACTGCTGACATAAGGAAAGTTATCATGAACCACTGTTTCCAGAAACGTCGTCTGCAGTCAGGAATGGTGAGGAAGAGTAGAGTGATGATTGGCAGAGACAAAACCCATAAGATCCTTTTTAGGTCGCTCTCTGGTACAGCAAAAACACTTTTTTGATCTGGCAGGGTAAAGTTTGAGAAAAGTTTTATAACGTACGATTAGAGCTGCTATCACATGTGACTTCTGTAATAAAATAAACAGATACCTTCAGAGATCTCGTTGAGGCCATGCAGGCTGAGCGACAGGTGAGAATACCCTGAATCATCTTGAAAGATACCACTGTCTGTTCTGGAGCGTACGCGGACTCGAAGGCTGCTGTCATCGTTCCAACCCATTAGAGGCTGTGTCTCAGGTTTTTCAACAGAATTCGAACCAAGACAGGTGCAGCATGGGCTCAGCTTCCTTAGGACAAACTCACTGATGCGGAGGTCAAAGCACAGAACCACAATGTAGACCCCATAGACCAGCAGTAGACTGGCTGCTTCATACCTGCAAACAGTTACAGGCTTAAAATGGATACATCTTGTAAAGTCAGATAGTTATGGCGTTGATGGTCTAAGATACCTGGGAAGCCACCATCAGAAAAATCTATAAAGATTCTTTATTAATCAGTACTTTCAATGTCATCAAAGGAGTTTACACCTGATTTACAAAATGGTCTGTCAATGAAGCAATTAGAATCCTAATTCTGGGGTACTTAAATTTGCAAAAAACCTACTAATTATAAGAGAAATCCCAAAAGAGGGCATAGAGTTGTTTTATCCACAACTCTCTTAATCTTTTCCAGGAATTTTTCCACAATGTCTCAGATTCTAATCCTCCACAGGAGTTGTATGTTTTCCACCCAGGTTCTATTAGGATGCATACCATTCTTCCAACAGTGTGAAAACCTGCAATTATGGGAAGTTAAATCATGGTGCAAACCTTGAATGAAATATCTGTCATCAGGCAAAAAGCAATGTCCTCTTCTAAAATACCTCCAGGGGTACTAAGCATAACCACTGGGTTTGTCTCAAATGAAGGGACAAGGAAACAGAAGTTATAAAGATATATAAATTAGGAGAGGGTTACAAAGCTGTCTCAAAACAACACCACTTTAAGAAGGAGGCCTTAAAAAAAAAACTGTCAAACCTGGTAGTGTGCTGTATTTTATAAAACCATAAAACCACATCGACTAATATCGATCTGTAGTGTTAAGATGAAGCAAAGGGTGACACCGCAGGACATCAAAGAACATCAGCAAGTTCTTGTCCAAAATGAAGGTAACTGGTCCAGTCAACATTCAAAATCAGTTCTTGCAAACAACTGAACCCTGTTTTTTCCAGCCAAGGTTAGCTTGACCTCTATATGTAACGTATGTTTATATTATAATATTATATTATAATGTTGATAATAGTTTACACCAAAACAATGCTCAAATCCCTCAGTTTTTTGCTGGTTTGCATTTACTTGAACATGCATAACAGAATAATGTTGTTTCTGAATCTGAGATCAAACTCCCTAGACAAATCCTTACAGCTTTATACATTTTAGGAATATGTTACTAGATATCTGGTGTGGGGGATGCACAGTGGCAGCAAGAAAGTTCCGGGTTCGATTCCTGGCTCGGGGTCTTTCTGCATGGAGTTTGCATGTTCTCCCTTTGCATGCATTGGCTCTCTCTGGGTACTCCAGCTGCCTCCCACAGTCCTGTGATAGACTGGCGACCTGTCCAGGGTATACCCTGCCTCTCGCCTGTAAATAGCTGGAGATAGGCACCAGCACCCCTTGTGACCCCAGGAGGGATGAGCGTAACAGAAAATGGATGGATGGACATCTGGTGTGTATCTATATCTAGTGTGTGTGTGTGCATATATATATGTATATATATATATATATACACTCACCGGCCACTTTATGAGGTACACCTGTCCAACTGCTCGTTAACACTTAATTTCTAAGCAGCCAATCACATGGCGGCAACTCAGTGCATTTAGGCATGTAGACATGGTCAAGACAATCTCCTGCAGTTCAAACCGAGCATCAGTATGGGGAAGAAAGGTGATTTGAGTGACTTTGAACGTGGCATGATTGTTGGTGCCAGAAGGGCTGGTCTGAGTATTTCAGAAACTGCTGATCTACCGGGATTTTCACGCACAACCATCTCTAGGGTTTACAGAGAATGGTCCGAAAAATAAAAAACATCCAGTGAGCGGCAGTTCTGTGGGCAGAAATGCCTTGTTGATGCCAGAGGTCAGAGGAGAATGGCCAGACTGGTTCGAGCTGATAGAAGGGCAACAGTGACTCAAATAACCACCTGTTACAACCAAGGTGGGCAGAAGAGCATCTCTGAACACACAGTACGTCGAACTTTGAGGCAGATATATATATATATATATATATATATATATATATATATATATATATATATATATATATATATATATATATATATTAGTGCTGTCAATCGATTAAATTTTTTAATCGCGATTAATCGCATCAATGCCTGAGTTAACTCGCGATTAATCGCATTTTAATCGCACATTTTTTTCCTGATTGAAAATCATTTAAATACTCTCGATGACATACAAAAAAATACATACAGGCTAGGTTTGTGCCAATGTTCTTTTTTTAAAATGAAAACAGGTCACAGATACTGATTTATGCCATAGAAACATATGGCAAGAAGATGGGGAGGCATGTAGCAAAAAATAACAAATATGTAGGCAAAAAAAAGGCCCTGAAAACAGGCTGATGTAAAAGACAGTCTTTACAGTTAATACAGTCTTTTGAACAAAGACAAGCATTTTACCCTACTGCTATAAAATTTAGTAGAGTTAACATTAGATGTTAATTAACCAAGATAATAATGAACAATTTTCAATCAATACATCAAAATCAATAGACCGACATCACTAGATGAAGGTAGTCTATGCTCTCTAGAAAGTTACTTTTCAGCCTCTTAACAAAAATGAGAACACACACACACCCACTCACCCACACACAGACACACCCACCCACACACACACACACGCGATACCGACCTGTTGCGTACACAGACGGCAAGAGTGCTGCTACGAGATTCCATTTCACCTCAGTAATCAGTTTTCTCAGCGTATTTCAGGTTGCTACTACACTCAACTTGTTTGTTGGTGGTGGGGCTTAAAGAAAAGGCACTAGCGTCACCCAGTGTATGAGCGTCTCTTTCCCTTGAGGAGCTCCGCTCTTGAAGCCTATGAGAAATGCATAGACTGGGGGAAAATAGCCCCGCCTTCCCGCAGGCTGCAGCGGGATGTACTTGGAAAAATTGTACCATAAAACCACATAGCGTTAATCTCACGTTAAAAAAATTATCGCCGTTAAAATGGCCTCGCGTTAACGCGTTAATAACGCGATAATTTTGACAGCACTAATATATATATATATATATATATATATATATATATATATATATACATATACATACAGGTGCTGGTCATAAAATTAGAATATCATGAAAAAGTAGATTGATTTCAGTAATTCCATTTAAAAAGTGAAACTTGTATATTATATTCATACATTACATACAAACTCATATATTTCAGATGTTTATTTTGTTTAATTTTGATGATTACAAATGACAACAAATGAAAATCTCAAATTCATCATATCAGAAAATTAGAATATTACTGAAGACCAATAAAAACAAAGGATTTATAGAAATGTTGGCCAACTGAAAAGTATGAACATGAAAAGTATGAGCATGTACAGCACTCAGTATTTAGTTGGGCCTCCTTTGGCCTGTATTACTGCAGCAATGCGGCGTGGCATGGAGTCGATCAGTCTGTGGCACTGCTCAGGTGTTATGATAGCCCAGGTTGCTCTAATAGTGGCTTTTAGCTCTTCTGAATTGTTGGGTCTGGTGTATTGCATCTTCTTCTTCACAATACCCCATAGATTTTCTATGGGGTTAAGGTCAGGAGAGTTTGCTGGCCAATTAAGAACAGGGATACCATGGTCCTTCAACCAGGTACTGGTAGCTTTGGCACTGTGTGCAGGTGCCAAGTCCTGTTGGAAAATGAAATCTGCATCTCCAAAAAGTTGGTCAGCTGCAGGAAGCATGAAGTGCTCTAAAACTTCCTGGTATGTGGCTGCGTTGACCCTGGACCTCAGAAAACACAATGGACCAACACCAGCAGATGACAAGGCACCCCAAACCATCACTGACTGTGGAAACTTTACACTGGACTTCAAGCAACGTGGATGAAGTGCCTCTCTTCTTTTCCTCCAGACTCTGGGACCTTGATTTCCAAAGGAAATGCAAAATTTACTTTCATCAGAGAACATGACTTTGGACCACTCACCAGCAGTCCAGTCCTGTTTCTCTTTAGCCCAGGCAAGACGCTTCTGACGCTGTCTGTGGTTCAAGAGTGGCTTGACACAAGGAATGCGACAGCAGAAACCCATGTCTTTCATACGTCTGTGTGTGGTGGTTCTTGAAGCACTCACTCCAGCTGCAGTCCACTCTTTGTGAATCTCCCCCACATTTTTGAATGGGTTTTGTTTCACAATCCTCTCCAGGGTGCGGTTATCTCTCTTGCTTGTACACTTTTTTCAACCACATCTTTTCCTTCCCTTCGCCTCTCTATTAATGTGCTTGGACACTGAGCTCTGTGAACAGCCAGCCTCTTTAGCGATGACCTTTTGTGTCTTGCCCTCCTTGTGCAAGGTGTCGATGGTCGTCTTTTGGACAACTGTCAAGTCAGCAGTCTTCCCCATGATTGTGTAGCCTATAGAACTAGACTGAAAGACCATTTAAAGGCTTTTGCAGGTGGTTTGAGTTAATTAGCTGATTAGAGTGTGGCACCAGGGGCCATCAATTTTGAACCTTTTCACAATATTCTAATTTTCTGATATGATGAATTTGAGATTTTCATTTGTTGTCATTTGTAATCATCAAAATTAAACAAAATAAACATCTGAAATATATGAGTTTGTATGTAATGTATGAATATAATATACAAGTTTCACTTTTTAAATGGAATTACTGAAATCAATCAACTTTTTCATGATATTCTAATTTTATGACCAGCACCTGTATATATACATATACATATATATACATATACATATATATACATATATATATATATATATATATATATATACATATATATATATATATATATATATACATATATATATATATATATATATATATATATATATACATATATATATATATATATATATATACATATATATATATATATATATATATACATATATATATATATATATATATACATATATATATATATATACATATATATACATATATATATATATACATATATATACATATATATATATATACATATATATACATACACTATATTGCCAAAAGTATTTGCTCACCTGCCTTGACTCACATATGAGCTTAAGTGACATCCCGTTCCTAATCCATAGGGTTCAATATGACGTCGGTCCACCCTTTGCAGCTAGAACAGCTTCAACTCTTCTGGGAAGGCTGTCCACAAGGTTTAGGAGTGTGTTTATGGGAATTTTTGACCATTCTTCCAGAAGCGCATTTGTGAGGTCGCACACTGATGTTGGACGAGAAGGCCTGGCTCTCAGTCTCCGCTCTAATTCATCCCAAAGGTGTTCTATCGGGTTGAGGTCAGGACTCTGTGCAGGCCAGTCAAGTTCATCCACACCAGACTCTGTCATCCATGTCTTTATGGACCTTGCTTTGTGCACTGGTGCACAGTCATGTTGGAAGAGGAAGGGGCCAGCTCCAAACTGTTCCCACAAAGTTGGGAGCATGGAATTGTCCAAAATGTCTTGGTATGCTGAAGCATTCAGAGTTCCTTTCACTGGAACTAAGGGGCCAAGCCCAGCTCCTGAAAAACAACCTCACACCATAATCCCCCCTCCACCAAACTTTACACTTGGCACAATGCAGTCAGACAAGTACCGTTCTCCTGGCAACCGCCAAACCCAGACCCGTCCATCAGATTGCCAGATGGAGAAGCGCGATTCGTCACTCCAGAGAACGCGTCTCCACTGCTCTAGAGTCCAGTGGCGGCGTGCTTTACACCACCGCATCCGACGCTTTGCATTGCACTTGGTGATGTATGGCTTGGATGCAGCTGCTCGACCATGGAAACCCATTCCATGAAGCTCTCTGCGCACTGTTCTTGAGCTAATCTGAAGGCCACATGAAGTTTGGAGGTCTGTAGTGATTGACTCTGCAGAAAGTTGGCGACCTCTTCGCACTATGCGCGTCAGCATCCGCTGACCCCGCTCCGTCAGTTTACGTGGCCTACCACTTCGTGGCTGAGTTGCTGTCGTTCCCAAACACTTCCATTTTCTTATAATACAGCTGACTGTGGAATATTTAGGAGCGAGGAAATTTCACGACTGGATTTGTTGCACAGGTGGCATCCTATCACAGTTCCACGCTGGAATTCACTGAGCTCCTGAGAGCGACCCATTCTTTCACAAATGTTTGTAAAAACAGTCTGCATGCCTAGGTGCTTGAATTTATACACCTGTGGCCATGGAAGTGATTGGAACACCTGATTCCAATAATTTGGATGGGTGAGCAAATACTTTTGGCAATATAGTGTATATATATATATATATACATATATATACATATATATATATATATACATATATATACATATATATATATATATATATATATATATATATATATATATATATATATATATATATATATATATATATATATATATATATATATATATATATATAAAACTGGTGGTCTACAGTGTCAAGTACTGCAAAACCTGTATTAATGAAAATGATCTGTTAGTTGTTAACACAACATAGAGAAAAGCAGATAATATCAGTTGGCAAAAAAAGGTTAAAAAAGGATAGGAAATCCACACTGGTGCAACATCACTTCCCATATAAGAGCTTCTGAGGCAAACTAAACTTATAAGCCCATAAACTGCCAGCAGCTACCTTTGCATGCTTCTTTAAAGAAACAAAACTACACATTTAGGTGTGTGTGTATGTGTGTAAAATTGGCCCTTTTATAGACATATATATATATAGACGGAGAAGAAATTATTTTGTATAATCATTATGTATCTTATAAGCTTTTATTACATGTTTGAATAGTCATGTTGATTGTTTTATTTTTGGACTGATAGGTGGCTGTAAACTGTCAAAGTGACAGATGAAAGATAGTAAGACGGCTCTTGTGGATTTGTTTTGAGGTCTATTTTGCCATGCTCTAGGTCATAGGTTTGCAATAAACAACTGTATTTGTCTTTTATAACCAATCGTCTTATGTTGTGCAAGGTCTGAAGATCATGTAACCATCAGCTGCTGAGTCACTGCACATAAATCAAACACACAAACTCACCAGAACACCTTGTTATCGGTAATGATCCCTATAACGGCAGCAACGCTGATTCCATATGCCAGGCAGTCCCTGAACAGAGGCCAACAGGTGAGACACCCTGCCTGATAAGGGAACAAAAAACTAAATGGTTTATGTTTTATACAAAGCAATGCTGCCAGACAATCTCTGGGGTGGTAAAAAAAAAAAAAAAAAAACTGCTCTCACACACAAGGGGGTGATAAATGGGTAATTTCTGAGTTTATTGTTAAAACGTACCATAGAGGCCAAAAGTCCACAGGCTGCACAGATTCCAAGCAGGTTGTATACAGCAGACCCCACAATGGTGCTAATACCAATGTCCCCTTTGGTCACAAACACACCTGATAAAATAAGCGCATAAAGAAGTTGAGATCCAGGACCAAATACATGCAATCCATAGTGTATGATATACTTGAAAATGTTCCTGTGTCTAATTACCCAAAAAAGCTGTGACCAGTTCAGGTGCAGAACTCCCTGCTGCCATAAATGTAGCTCCTGCCACATCTTGAGACAGTCCCAGACCTGAGAGAGACCCAGAAAACAAGAAAAAAGGATAGCCTCAAAAAGATCACAAAAATATAACATAAAGCTGACTCAACACTGTTAACAAAAAGAGATTAAACTTCAGTTTCAGGATTATTGTGCTCATGTTTTGAAGAAATGTGTGTTATAACCGCACTCACCATCTATAATTATCTATTTAGCTTTAAATAGAAACAGTTAAATTAAGCTATCACCTATTTCTTTGGTGTAATAAATAGCATTAGATTAGATTAGATTAGATGAGCTTTATTGATCTCACAGCGGAGAAATTCACTTGTCACATATTGGCATAGAAGCCAAAGAAGGGGCAAACAAGGAGGAAAAAGGTGCATTAAGAATAAACAGTAAACAATATATATTAAAGTTGATCTTTAGGATTTTACTGTAATTCATTAAGTTATGTGGAAATACTCGATATTTATAGTTAGTGCCAGCCAGGAACCTGAGCAAAGGAAGATTGCCATGGTTTGATAAGTAAACTTTATCATTTAGAATCATTTATACCAGCAGTGGTCAGTCTTTGATATGCAACTGGTTTTGAAATGAATGTAGTTACTAATTCTACTGCGTATAAAGTGTGATCCCAATTTGTTGTGGTGTTGGGGGGAGGGAACTAATCTGCTATTTCACACGTGGACCACACCAAACCTCTGTTTTGATGGGAAAATAGCCTGACTCGAGTCAGATACATGAAAAAGGTGAAAATACTTTGGATTATTCTGAAAGTATTATAATTTAATAGTCTTTAAATATATCACATATTTAAATTTGTAATAACAAACTTGCTATCAATTATACACTGTAAAACAGAAAGGAGTATGTAACAGCAGAGGTCCTAAAACAATGCCAAGGACAGAGAGCTACTTACACAATCAGCCTGTGTAAAACACACAGGCGCGTACCTTTGTCCTGGCACAGCAGTTATCGATTAAAGTCATAGGCCTATGCTTCAACTTTAATCGTCTTCTCTGTGACTACGACATTAGAATAAAGCTAAGCACCACACTCCAAAAAATTGCATTTGGATTATGCAAAATAAGACGTATTTTTAATAATTTAGTAGGGAGTAAATAGTAAATAATTTAATTGATAAAAAAAAAAGCTTATGGACTCTACATTCCCTAATAACTTAAGTGCAACTGGTATAAAGTTTTAAAAAATAAAATTAAAAATAAATGACAGCACAACACACAAATATCAAATAAGATATGATAAGAACTTACGTTCACTTATTACTTCTAGAGAAGGCAGGAAGTAATCATCACAGACTATGGAAACAGCCAAAAGCATGTAGAATATGATCATAAAATAAATGACAAGGCCCCCGTCTTTCCTCTCCTGCACCGTGAAGAAGCCTTCAGGAAACTCAGAGGCTTGTGGCGCGATGCATTCTGTTTCATTTTCTAAAACGACAGGAAAACTGTTTTTATCATATAATTCACAAGCAGTGTGCAGAAACCATTTGGTTTGCATATTTGGGATGATTGACAGCTGCTGATAACGAATCAAGGAAATAGAAAAGACATTATACTGAAGGGTTGAGGAAGGTATTAACAACCTCTTTGTTAAAATGCAAATCTGTTGTGATGTAAAATGCATTTTAAATAATTACAGATCATATTAAACACTAAAATAAGCCACGTTTTTACATGTAAAGCAAGTGAAAAGCAAATCTGTTAGAAAGAAAAGCAGAATCTGTGATGTCCCCTCTGCACTCTCATTGATATCCAGGATGCATCTCTGCACTGTGTAATTCAATTTGATCAGTTTCCATTAACTTTAAACACCTTTCATTCAAATATAAGTGAACAGATAAAAGCAAAATCCTGGAGAAGAATCGTTAGAAAAATAAGTGCTGAAAGTAAATCGATTTTAACATTAATATTAATATTGTGGAATCACCATTGGTTCTGATTCCGATACACATTGAAGGGATACCCTCTTGAAGCTTTATTTTTTTAATTTTATTTATGTTGGTTCTTTGTTGTCTTCTTTTTGCTGTTATGTTCTGTTTTCTGTTCTTCTCATCTCATACAGCTGCGGAAGCAGACTTCCAGAACTTACTGCATATCTTCTATGTTGTCTATTTTTTCAGTTTTGTTTTATTTTCACTCTTTTCATGCACTCTTTCCTGTCTCTATCTCTCCCCATCAGTTCTTATCCCTTCTTACTTTCTCAGCTCCCTTTTTTTCTCCATTGTATATCGTTTTATTCCCCAAATAATGCTCAATAAAGTTTAATACCCAAGTATCAAGCAGAACCTTATGGCAACAGTCATACTGGTCTGCTTGTGAAAGTAAAGCTGTTGGGCTAAAAGAAAAATGACTTTAACAAGGCAATTAGTTCAACCTTCACATTCATCCAATATGAATTTTGCTGTTTTTGTTTTTCAGATTTTTTCCTGTGAGTTTATCAGTCTTGTGATCCAAATCTACAAAAATGATGTTTCATTAGAAGTGAAAAACGGTTTTGAATTTATATGTTTTTTGGTATCAAGAAAATGTAACTTGCAACAGGGGTGTGTAACCCTTTGATCATATCCTGTCTAAATTCAAAGAGGAAAATTGGCAAAAGAAGAAGAATACGTTTCTAAAATTGTATATTTTTGTACATGAAATTATATGTGTTACATAAAAAACATATTTTAACTATAACCACTGCAGCTATGCAGCATGAATTAAAGTTATAAGGCAACATGATGAACTATGGGTATTTTTTTTTACCTTTTTTCAAGAAAGCTGCGGAAATATTACTCCATCAATCATCCATTTTTTTTTTGTAATCCACAGTTTATATTATTTTTCTTATTACTGAAAATTGTATGGCTCTCCTTTGGTGACAGTATCTTGACGTTTTTTTTTGTTTTGTTTTTTTAAAGTTTTTTAAAACTCCATCTAACAACCTTCCATAACAACTAGTAGCCTCAACAAAATAGGCCTAGATTAAAATATTATTTTAAATTGACAAAATTAAGATTTTGCCAAACACTCCCTGTATTTATGCTCATATGTTGCTGCTCTTTTTTTTAAGTTGTTATTGGATTAATTACACAGAGCTTATTTTGTTCGTGAGAAAACAAAAACGTTAATCACCCACATAAACCAGAATATTTGCATGTGCTTACCAAGAGCCCGACGCACCCTTGTAGGGTAGTTTTCCTGAGTTCTTTTTGCTGTAAATGATATAAGATGAACAGACGCATACAAAAAAAGGACAAAACCCAAAAAGTAAGGTATGAAATCCCTTCTCCTTTTTTTTTGCACTGCTGGAACTGCATCCATAATCATCTAAAGGATAAAAAAAAAACACTTAAATCAGCAAGTTGTCCTAAGATTCATGTGTTTCTATAGTTTAAGTATTTAATAAAGATTTAAAAATGGCTGAAACCGCTTGCAAAAGCTGCATCTAGCTCTACACTAAACTACAAGCTGCACAGAGAGATTATTGAAAGTGGGAAAGCATCCTTTAAAGTCTAGTGGTACTACAGAGAATGAGGGGGGGCCAATCACGAGTTGCGAGTCATTCCACTTGACTTGAACGTTCTCCTGCCTGAGGCGCATCAGGGGGTGTAATTCTCCATAAGCAGGCTCTAATGCAGCTCTGCCAATTCTTAAATAGGCGGAAATTTGTTATTTTTTCAGTGGTGACAAAATTACAATGAAAAGCTTAGAGCTGAGACTTTGGGAGAAACGCTCCCAACCATAATAATTTCACCTTTATCCAGTGGCATAAATCCATAAAAGTGAGGATGAATACTTATTTACGGCCCTTATATCTTCAGGAAGGAAATTTATTTTGGCATGTAGAGGTGACGTCCTACAAAACTATGGAGGACCAACTCTGCCATATTTAAAAATAAAGACAGAAATAAATAAATGCTCAATAAATAAATAAGCATACAATTAATTGCCCTCCAAAATACAATAAACTAATTAATGTAGGTAGAAATGAAATCATACAGCAAGACATAAATGTATGAATCTCTTTTAATTAGCTTCTTTATTTAGTCGCCTTTGTAATAATTACCTAATTTATTTATTGTCCATTTTAATCTTCAACTTTATTTTGTACTTATTTTTTTTAAAGTATTTATTTATGTGCATGATATATTTTTATCTGTTTTATTCTCCCTTTGTATTTTTTACCCTATATATTTCTTAAATGCGATTTGTTTCTGCCTGTCGTTTTTCCATTTCTGTATGCATTTCTGCATCATTGTGCGAATGAGCAAGGGGTGTGTCTTAGAGGGTCAACTTCTAAATAAATATGATAATTATTACAAAGGCGAATAAATAAAGAAGCTAATTAAAAGAGATATGTACATTTATGTCACACTGTATAATTTCATTTCTACCTACATTTATTTGTTTGTTTATTGTATTCTCTATTATTTTTAAATATGGCAGAGTTGGTTTCCCATACAACACTACCTTACTGATAATAAAATAAACCTTTCTTATATTTCTTATTCAATCCTATAATTCCCCATGAATGGCTGTGTCAGTAGAGGGGGGTGATTCTAATGGACTTGTTCGGACATGTCTCAGGTCACCCTAATTAGAGCAGCTGGCTCTTCTGAGCTCCACGTTCAGACCACAGGTGATATCCAGCGAAAGAGGGACTGAGTCCATTCATGCAGCCGGTCGGTGAGTTCCTCTGCTTGTTTGTTATCTTCAGCTACTCTGAAGATTACATGAAGTTAACACTGCATGAGCATGGAAACAGCAAAAAGATAAAAAATAATAAATAAATAAATAAAAAAAGGGTAAGAAATGGACTATATTTAGCATCCTTGTCACATGTTATTTCCCTCACATCCCCTTTTATTTATAATGGGGTAACAATGTTTCCAAACATTACTGTTGTTCCTTTCCTCGTATTTATAAACGTTGGAAACAATGGCGCCCCTTAGTGGTGTTATACTGGTTTGGGTTTTGCTGACTCTTATTTGGTTTTTTATTATTGTATGTAGTGCAACTACCGCCTGTAATCTATTGAAATACACTTTTCTTTCTTTCTTTTTTTTTTAAAGCAAATCAAATTTTTTTTAGCTTCCTTTATTTACAGTGAGTCTACGTACCCCTGTTAAAATGTCCGGTTTGTGTGATCAATGTGATATATAATGTGATATATGCTCACATGCATGTGATATATTAATGTGATATGCTTTGATATATGCATATGACTTTTAATTTCATATGTGATATCAAATAAAAGGGATATATGCTTTTAATGTGATATAAGCTCCATTTCTGTTGAGCCTTTCCCCCCAGCTTCCTCCTATAAAATACTTATAACAATAATATTTTAATACTAAAATAATTTTTCCCCCAAAGCAGTGTGCGTACTACAAATATAACATTAATTAATCAAAATACATATAAAATAATATAGTTTTATATCACCTACAACATAGAATAAAACTAAAAATGGCTGCCTATTTCTGCTAAATAAGAGCTGCTTCTCTGACCTCTGTGAATGTGGTAAATAATTTCTGGCTTCATATTTGTCTAGGTTGTTTGGTAGTAATAATTTTTTTTTTTTTCAATTCTAAAACTGACACATCGCAGGTTAAACTAGGAGAAATTTGAAGCAGCACTAGTTTATAACTTCTATTTAGTCTCTGTGATGGTAATCCTAAGGGTCTATGAGGTGATTGAATGGTCTGCCATCGCCCCCTGCTGGCTGGTTTTAGAAAACTAAAATCTATGGCAGCATGCAAAATAGATGGAACTTCAACATGTGGAGAGAACAGAGAAAGCTGGATGCAGAAAACCTTGCAGCTCTCAACACGCTGCCCTCTCACCTTAACACCTTTATAGATTTCCTCTCCCTATCACCACCAGCGGCAGAGTGAAACATAGGTCAGATTATAGGTCCATGTATACATCAAATACTGCAAACAAATGGAACTGAATTATTGGAATACAAGATGGACCAAAATTATGCCCAAACTACTAACTACAAATGGCCCCATAACGACTGTGCAACTGCAATATTTAGAAGCTTGATTTAAAGTAAGTTACAGGGTTGAACAGAATTGGCCAAACGGATACTTAAAGGGATACTTAAAATACCCATTTATTAAAATATAAAAAAAACAACTTTAATTACACAATTTTTTTTACATTATTCACTTATTTAACTGAGTAATGTCTATTGGATCAGTATTTGTATTACAAGACCATTAGATGCCATCACATTAAAAAGTGCATCTGACTTTTATTCTGACTTGTTCCCAGTGCATGTTGGACTCTGACAGAGCTGCCCTCTGTCAGCGGTCCTTTTCATGACCTTTATGGAAAGGATTTCGAGGTGCAGCCAAGGGGGTCTGGTTCGGGGACCAGCGGCTCTAGTCCCTGCTTATTGCGGATCACGTGGTTCTGCTGGCTCCCTCCTGCTAAGACCTACAGCATGCATTGGGCGGCTCGCAGTTGAGTTAAAAGCTGGGAGGAGAATGAGCTTCTCCAAGACCGAGCCCATGGTTTGAGTGAACGGAGAATGGAGCGGAGGATCAATAGAGGGATTGGTGCTGCTGCCGCTATAATGCAGGCACTGCTCTGGTCTGTCATAGAAAAAACAGAGCTGAGTAAAAGAGGCAAAGCTCTCGATTTACCTGACAGTATAGGTTCCAACCCTCACCTATGCTCATGAAATCGGAATCGTGACTGAAAGAATGAGACCCTGAGTACAAGCAGAAGAAATTAGCTTTCTACACAGGGTGACTGGGCTCTTCCTTAGAGATAGGGTTGGGAGCTTGGTCATTCAGAAGAGGCCCGGAGTAGGCCTGCTTCTCCTCCACATAGAGAGGAGCCAACTGAGGTTGCTCAGACATTCTTTTCGGATGCTCGCTGGATGCCTCACTCAGGAGGTGTTCCAGGGACGTCCCTCTGTAAAGAGGTCCAGGGGACAGTCCAGGACACTCTGGAGGGACTTTGTCCCTCGGCTGGCCTGGGAGCGCCTCAGTTTTCCCCCTTCTGCAGTGCTGGTGTCTACGAAGAAGGAAGTCTGGGAGTCTATGCTGCGACTGCTTCCCCTGTGACCCGGTCCCGGATATTGCAAGACTTTTACCGGTATTCATCTGTCATATCTTCACCATTGTGGTCGGTTTCATCACAACGTAGGGACAGTTGCAACACAGCTTTGCCCTAATTACCATCTTTTTAACACATTCATTTTGGCCCAAAATGCCTCTGAATGTTAGAAGCTGAGAAATTTCTGATTCAAGCCATATAACTGTTAAGTTCCGCATACAGACCATGTGGATCGCAACTTTTGTGGATTTGATCACAAAAAAAGTAATCATTAATCATAATTTAAACCTTGATTTTCTGAAGGTATTATGGAATGTGGCTGCTGTCTTCCAGAAAGACAGCGGTGCGACTGAGTAGTCTAGCTGAATGCTTAATGGTTAAATCAATGTTGCAGCTGCAACATGTTGGAACAGTCCCCGCTCTCCCCTAAGGCGAACATTTTTACGGCAGCCCAATGTAAGGCTATTAGCGCCAGTAACCAAAAGCATTGCGCTGAACTACCCACAGGTGATTACAGAGAAGTTGCTTTGGATTTTTGGAGGTGTATGAAAAAAGAAAGACAAAAAAAAAAAAAAAAAGACAAGGAAAACCTTTGTCGGAAGGGGAAACTAGGAAATAACTAGAATCGGATTGGGACAGAGCTCGTAGAAGAATGCATTTGTGCAGGGCATTTATTGATTTTTAGCATGCCAGAAGATGGAGAGTATGAATCATCCTGTGAAAGCAAATAAATGGTTAGGTAGTGACCTACAATTCACTGACTGGTATAAAATGAAAAACTAGCAAAGAAAAGGCCAATGTACTAATATTTGCATTAGATAATACAGAATACCACCAATCTCTTCAAACATTTGGTGGGGATATGCATTTTCCGGTTGCTTCGAGAGCGCCAGTGTAGTAGCTGTGGGGTGCTCAGCTCGCTGAGGGCAGCCAGTGTCTACAACAGCCCTATTTTCAAAAGTATCTGTAGGGCAAGGCAAGGCAAGGCAAATTTATTTGTATAGCACAATTCAGTACAAAGACAATGCAAAGTGCTTTACATGATTAAAATACAGGAAGATAAAACAGAATCAAAGCAAGTAGGAAAAAAATATATATATAAATAAATAAAATAAAATAAAAGGGGGAGAACATCTAAAAAATTGCTTGGCGCTTCTAATTTTTCTGGCAAAAAATAAGTGAAGAGAAATAAGAAAAGGTTGTGAGATCTGAAGAAGAAAGAATGAAGGACAGACCAGGAGCATCACAGGTGAAGGAGGCCTCTGCCGGTGCAACAGTGGAAAGAAATTTGTATAAATGTAAATGATTAGCGGTGAAGCATTAGTAATGAAGATGAGATTAGTAATGAAGATGAGAAGAGCTAAGAGTTTAAGAGAGAAAGATGAGACTGGTGAAGGAGAAAAATCAGCGTGTTTTT